AACTTGATTTGAACTCATGATTAGAAAACCTTTATTCTGACAAAGCAATATGCAACAACATGATACCTGAACCAGGTGTTCACCCTCTTCATATGGCTCAGGCTCAATGCCAGAAAAGATGTAAGGGTGGCTACACGCTTTTCTTAGCTGAATTACCTGCACAATAAGTGTTCAAATAACATTTCAAAGACAAAAAGAGATGAAAAAGGGGGCAAAATGAAACACGAAGCATGCAGGTTGCAACATAACTTATGATGAGCAACAATAAGTAAGACATGTAAGTATCAAATTAATTAACTACTTTAAAAGTTTAAAAGACACGAGTGCTCAGTAAGAAGGAATGCCTTAAGAAATTTGTGCCCTAAAACGGGCTATTTTTATTCCACAAGATAGAACAACTTAGAACTATAGTTTGTGCACCATCTCAAGAATTGCATGGATCAGAAGCAGCCTTACAGATAAGTGCTGTTATGTAAGAAAAAGCACTATTTAGACGAATATACAATCAGAGTAGAATTGGTGTTGCTTGAGAAAAAGCACTATTTAGGTTAACAATTAGAGTAAAACCAGTGTTAAATGAAAAAAAAAAAAGCACTATCTAGAAGAGTAAACACTCCAAATAGATCTTACAATACATTAACCTCAAATCATCATGTAATAAAGTTTGCTGGATCTATCAACCAGTGGCTACCACCTTCCAAGACATAGGTAGGCAGATTTTGCCAGTAGTGGAATAAATATCGGTCCCTCATAAGACTTCAATAATCCCAAAGGAAGAATAGCAGATTGACAACTCCAATATAATCTTCTGATATGAGAAAATGAGGTGACTATATAATGTTCAAGAAGTGCAGATTTGGCAGCCTCGGGATTTATTAATACTAATCATACCACAATATCTACAGGTTCACTTTGTTCCTCTTCCCCCAACCAGAGGCAAGTGATAAATGTAAAAGCTTAGAAGTAAGCATCAAAGCTGAAAAGTTAGGAATCTAACATACAATATTTTGTAATGACTGATGACTAGACGATCCAGAAGATAAAGCAAGAAGTTTTGGAAGCTCCTTTCTTAGTATTGAAGTATACACCTTCTTTTGCAAGCTAACCAGCGGAGCCATCCTATCAAGAAAAAGCACATTAGCATCAGTGACTTAAAACAGGTAAGTTTTTCAATGAGTCAGCAAAGAAAGAACTTACACAGTAATCTCAGTAAGAGGCGGGAGTACTAGATTTCCACATTCAATAAGTTTGGATTTTGTCCGTCGGAGCATAAAGGCTTGCAATATATACTTTAAACTCTTAAATTGTTCGTTGGTCTTAGATGGTGTTCCATCTATTCAAGAAACCCAGAGAAAGGTGTAAGACATAAGCCGTGAAGCCCCTTACAAAGTCACTATGTCCATTCAAAAGCCAACAAGAAGGTGAGGAGGCAGCCATAGGAATTATGAAATTTGCAACTCTTCAAAAGTTGTAAATGCTAGATTCCAAGAAACAAGCAGATACGGAAGAAATACTAATCCATGACAAAGCCAGAGATTAAAACCAGCTGAGAAAAGCAAGAATGGTTAAATGCTAGATCCAATATAGACACCATGCTCTTCAAGGACAAAACATAGACTCAGAAAAAATCCAAACTTATATAACCTAAGTAGGCAAAAATGTAAATAACCTGATGAAGAATCTCCAGCTTCTTTGAATGAAGAAAGAAACTGGTTTAGTGTGCCAAACACTGGGGGCATACAAAAATGCATCAAAGCCCAGAGTTCAGTGAGATTGTTCTGTATAGGTGTACCAGTCATCAACAACCGTCTTGGCATAAGAAAGCGATCAACAAGGACATTATACAGAACCTGTTATGGTTTACAAATCAGAATGTCTTATTTCACCAACGTAGATCAAACTTACATAGAAATTAATACATAAACCATAATATCGTAAATGAAGTGATTCATAGAAGAAAATGAAAGATAAATCAAGATATCTTAACCATACACTGGAAGGATTTTTAAGCCTTTGAGCTTCATCAATTATAGCATAATGCCAGGGTATTTGAGAAAGAAAATCTTGATCCATCAATGCTATGTCATATGTTGTCAAGAGCACGTCAAAGGGTAAGGACAGAACCTGCAAATACAACGGAAAATTCCTCAAGTATGTGGCTAAAGAGAAAACTAATGTTTCAATACACTCAGAACCAGAATAAAACAATAAGTTCGCCAGATTTTAAACAGAATAGTAATTCTGATCTTCTAAATCACACAGCAAGAAACTCACATTGGATGATAACGACTTCTCTTGTACATGCTCATATATAGTCTTGCGTATACTTCGCCGGAGTTCTTTCTCACCGACATACCTAAGAACTTCTAATTTAGGAGTGAATTTAACTATCTCTGACACCCAACCATCTGTCACACTTAAAGGACAAAGCACCACTGCAAAATGATTTAATCATTCAACAACAATGAGAAATCAGGGATAAATGGTAACACAAAAAACCCCAAAATTCTCAAGATTAAACAAAAAGGTTTAACTCACAAAATGGCCCAGGTGACTTCTGGTGGACCTTCAAATAGCTCAGGAAAGAAATAGCTTGAAGAGTCTTCCCTAGTCCCATCTGTTCATAATTTTCAAATTATGGTAATTAAAAAATTATTTAGCGGGAAGATGACCGTTGAATTTGTAAACTTTGATTCAATGTTGAAAAGAAGACATACCTCATCCCCTGCAATATAAATTCAAGAAATACAAATTAAAAATTAGAATCCAAATATTTCAACGAAAATACTAAAGATAATAACAAATAAAGAAAAACAACTATAAAGACAAATAAAAGAAAAAGGACCTACCAAGAACAACGTTGACGCCGAGAACATATCTCCGAATAAGCCAAGAAACTCCGTCGACTTGGTGAGGTTTCAGCGTCGCCGTGACTCCAAATTCTGCACAATCCACCGCCGTGTCTCCAGCGCGTGAATCGTACGCAAGAACGATTTTCGCTGCGGCTTTAAGCCTCTGTTCGTAATTCATCTACCCCTTTTGGTATCGGTATATTTTTTATGAGGTTTTGAGTAAGAGAAATGGCGGTGGATTTTGAAAAGTGAAAGCGTGGGAGGAAAGCTGAAAGCTAAAAGTCTCAACGGCCAAAGAGGAGGGGAAAGCACTGCAATGACCAAAACAGGCTTCCTCATGGGTTCTCAAACGACGCCGTCTAGGTATGCGAGATGCTCCAACGATCTATCGGTGCCGATCCACGTGGCTGTCATCTGGTTCGCTGGGTCGTGGGGTGGAAGTTTTGTTCAGCACCCTAAAAGGCCGGCCCAAATATAACCCAATCAACCAGAGAAAAAAGGGCAAACTGCAAACGACGTCGCTTCATACCTCAATAAATAATTTATGCGAATTTTTTCTGCATTTGTACGTAATGAAGGAATTTTGACATGTTTAGTAGTATCATTTTAAATCAAGGTTAGACGAATCAAAACTTGACGTGATGTAGAAAACAAGTCAAAATTATATAAAAAAACTGAGATATAAAATGCAAAATCGATTAACAATAATCGTTAAGGGAAGTTAAATCAATTTTTAGTTGATATTTATCTAGGCATATATTTGAAAGAAATATATGCATAAAGATCTTTGAGAAACAAAGCTCCCCAATGAAACTTCCTACCACGTATGAGAACCCCATTGCTTCTCCTTCCTAAGTTGTAAGGACTATATCATAGTTTGGTTATCCACGTTTGAGAAGTGGCTAAAGATGTTAGCAGTAATCGTCAGGTAAAAGAAGCACTGGTGAACCACAGGAAAGAGCGCGTAACTTCTCGTGCCCTGCTTTCGTAAGTAATGCAGAGCAGAGCAGAGCATCAGGCGATGGACAAAGATAGTTGACAGCCTTCAATCAACAAAAAACCAGTGATGGAATCGGGTCAACAGAAGCTAGAGTGTACGTCTCATAGTGAAAGTTCAAATTTGGAATGTGAGATCAGCAGATTCCTCAATAGACAGCCGAAGTAGGAAATGCGGACATCTGGCCCACTGTCCTCTGTTTTCTTTTGTTTTTGTCATTTTTCGTTGCAGGATCAGACCTACAACCCATCATGGTATCAACCTCCTAATCATTATTCCATTTTAGTGCCCAAATTTTTATATTCCGAATGCAGCACCTTCTTCAAAGTACCTCCGCCCTTTCCTTCACTCTTACACGTAAGCAAACTACCATTTTCCCAAGTGGAACACTTTCAATGGCTGTCTAAATTTCCCAAACGCTTTTGTTCATGTAGCGGCATGACAGTATAGCTCACAGTTATAGCCACGGAAATCGTAGCTAATTGCAGCATGGTGCAGAAACCAAGAGAACGTAATGGATGAGTAGTTTGTTCATAGCATTAAGCATGAATTAAGATATTATAAGCGATTTATGACATCATTTTGTAGTAATTTTTTCCCTTAAAGAGTGTAATAAATACTTTATAATTGAATATTATTTATATATTAAATAAAATTAAATTATTAAATTTTCTTACACCTTGTTAGGTCTCCATGGTGGAGCAATTTGACCAATTGGGCTTCTGTAGGGTAATGGCCTTACAATCAAACTACATGACAAAGGTAAAATCGATAAATAATTATATAAAGCAGTGAATATCTATTGCCATAATGCCATGATAGCTTTTTTACCTTTATTTTATGTACCCTTGCCTTAACATTAGAAAACAAACGGAAATAAAAGAAGACATATTTTGTCTGCCATTTTCATGGTGCAAAAAATTCTTCATGTCCTCCATGATAGATCCGATGCATATACCCCACCATGCAACCAAATGACTGGCAAATCTGTAATTAATGAAAAAAAGCCTAAGAAATTAGACAATGCCATCCAACCAACATTCTTGTTCTTATAGCATAACCTGATAGCCATGCTATAGGGTCCTTCTGCATCTTTGGAGAACTCCACAAATTAAAGAAAACTCCTTCACTCCCAAAAATACTTGCAAAAAATGCAAGCCAAACCCTTTTACATCATTCCACCAGGATTCCATTCGCCAGGGAAACATCCTCAGCTGCATCAACCATCGTTACCAACGAAGCTGCCACGGGCCATATCCATTTCCAACCCTCCTGCAGATAATCATGTTCCAGGCCCTTTGACACTAGACAGGGATGATTCTGTGGCTGCCTTTTGGGACTATCAATTTTTATTCGTGTCACAACGCTCGGAGACGGCTGAGCCGATCACGCTCCGAGTTGTGGACGGTGCAATCCCCACGGACTTCCCTTCCGGTACATATTACCTAGCCGGTCCAGGGCTATTCACCGATGATCATGGCTCGACAGTGCACCCTTTAGACGGTCATGGTTACCTCAGGGCCTTTAGCATCGATGGTGCAGCTAGAGAAGTCAAGTTCATGGCTAGGTACGTAAAGACCGAAGCTCAAGCAGAGGAGCACGATTCCGTCACTGACACCTGGCAGTTTACGCACCGTGGCCCGTTTTCCGTGTTAAAGGGGGGCAAGAAACTAGGCAACGTTAAGGTGATGAAAAATGTAGCTAATACCAGTGTGTTGAGGTGGGGTGGAAGGTTACTGTGCTTATGGGAAGGTGGAGATCCTTACGAGATTGAATCAGGGACGTTGGATACCATCGGGAGTTTTGATGTGATAAACGGCCATGATTTGTTGCCGGAGGCTGAGAAGAAGGGTACCGACGGTGATTTATTGGACGCAGCCGCCCGGCTGTTGAAGCCGATCCTATACGGTAAGTTTGTCCAATTTGCATTGTTGTTAAGGGAATCCATGTCAGCATTGAAGATGACTTATTTTCTTTCTTTTTCACATCCATTTGTTTATTATATATCCCAATTTGAAATTAACTTTGGTAATTTAATGCAGTTAAATGTTGTTTTACCCTAAATATGCTCGACAGGTGTGTTCAAGATGCCTCCCAAAAGACTCTTGTCTCATTATAAACTTGATGCTCAAAGGAACCGACTTCTTACAGCCTCATGCAACGCAGAGGACATGCTACTGCCTCGCAGCAACTTTACATTTTATGGTTTGTTGTGTATATATACGTGTGTGTGTGTATATATATAAAATTATTTGTACATAAGACATAGTACATAAAATTGATCACGGATGTCAGGATTTCTGTTTGTTTATTTCATGTTTGTAGAGTTCGACTCAGAATTCAAGTTGTTGCAGAAACAAGAATTCAACATCCCTGATCATTTGATGATCCATGATTGGGCCTTTACTGATACTCATTACATACTGTTCGGCAACCGCGTCAAGCTCGATGTTATTGGTAATCACTGATCAACTGCCAAACAGATTGAGAATTCTGTAAACAGAATGGAAAATGAAGCATTTTCGTTATATTTAACTGCAGGATCGATGACAGCAGTATCTGGGTTATCGCCAATGATATCGGCATTGTCAGTGAACCCCAGCAAGTCCACGTCTCCCATTTACTTGCTCCCTCGCTTTCCTGGTAAATCTGCTGGACAGCGAGATTGGAGAGTGCCAGTGGAAGCTCCCTCCCGGAAGTGGCTATTGCATGTTGGCAATGCCTTTGAGGTCAAGGATGTGGATGGTAACTCGGAGATTCAAATCCAAGCATGTGCTTGTTCTTACCAATGGTTCAATTTCCAAAAATTATTTGGTAAGTTCATGTTTTCCAGCGGTTTTTGTGCTTCTGCCTCGTGTGGCAAGTATGTTGAAGTCTAACTTTGAAGCATGGGGACAGGATATAATTGGCAAAGTGGTAAACTAGATCCCTCGATTATGAATGTAAAACAAGGTGAAAATGAGTTGTTACCCCACCTTGTTCAGGTATCTATAAACCTGGATGCTGATGGAAACTGCCAAAACTGTTGCGTGGAGAATCTGAACCAATGGAACAAGCCATCTGATTTTCCAGTCATCAATCCAGACTTTTCTGGCAACAAGAATGAATACATTTATGCATCAACTTCTTCAGGGTCTAGGCAGACATTGCCCCATTTTCCGTTTGACATGGTGTTGAAGCTAAATTTGACAACAAAATCAGCCTTTACATGGTCTGCAGGGGCTCGTAGATTTATTGGTGAGCCTATTTTTGTCCCCAAAGGAACCGAAGAAGATGAAGGGTACATTCTTGTAGTCGAAGTAAGCAACCGATACCTGTTAAAATTTACCTTTCGCTTAGTTTTTCTGCTTCTTTTCTGACATGATTTATGTTGTTTTACAGTATGCAGTTTCAATACAGAGATGTTATCTTGTCATCTTGGATCCTAAGAGGATTGGTGAAACTGATGCCCTTGTCGCAAGGCTAGAAGTCCCCGAGCACTTGAACTTCCCTCTCGGCTTTCATGGTTTTTGGGCCAATAGCACCTGAACTTGCCCAAGCACCAATTGAAAATCTTTGTATTAAAACACCATATCATTAATTTTAATTCAATAATAGATGCACGAATGTCTCATATCCAACTCAAAGAGTTCAACTCAAATCTCTTTATTTAAATAAAAAAATATTAAAAGGTTTGAAAATTTTGTAATTTGCATCTAAATTAATGAGTTACATATTTAATTATTAAACAACTATCATCTTTAATATATCAAAATTCTATCCCATATAAAGAGGCGCTATTTATCTTTGTAAGAAAATAATTTTATATTTTTAAATTAAAAATAGATTATGTATTGATTTAACCATAAAAAATAAAGTTGAAATTCGAGATCGTGAATTAAATATTTTTTTTAGAAATTTTCTCTCGAATTAATGATGCATCAAGTAGTATTTTTTAAATTTTATGAGTTTTTACGATTTTTGAATGTAATAAAATTAGATCATTTTTATTTAATGATATCATTGGTGTATGTTTACCAAAATTCATTAATTAATAAAAATTTGTACATGACTAAATGAAGCCAAACATTTGTGGGGAAATAATAAATGAACCAAAATTAATTTATCACGTGCGAAGCACGTGATGAGACTGGGCGGGCGAAGCAGCCCGAACCGTTTGTGCCTATCCCGCTTCAATCAGAAACACTGCCAAAATTTCCAAAACCCTCCATCGTCTGAAAAACCCCAACGCGAGCAATTCTAAACAGAGTGAGAGGGAGAGGGTTGGAGAAAGGAGGAACAGATAGGGGAAAATGTCGGGTTTCTTGTTCCCTTCCTCATCCTCTACTCAATCTTCATCATCATCATCGTCATCTCCGTTCTCATTAGGATCCTCCCCATCTCCATTCGGGTTATCCACTTCTGCATCCGCAACCGCTTTTGGTTCTTCGCTTTTCAACTCAAACCCTAGCTCCTTCTCCCCCTCCTCCACCGCCATTACCACCACCCCTGCATTCTCGTCAAATCCTGCCTCCGGCTTGAGCCCATTCGCCGGGTTCGGACAACCCAGCTCGTCCTCTTCTTCCGCCTTCTCGGCTCCCGCATTCTCTTTCGCGGTTGGTTCGGGTTCCGCCGCATCCCCCTTTTCCTCACCTTCTTCTTCCGCAACCTCCGGTTTGTTCGGAGCAGGTTCTTCCGCATCAACTTCACCTTTGCCTTTGGGCGCACCTTCTTCCGCAGCACCTTCTGCTTCGCCGCTGTTTGGCTCGGCTTCTTCCGCTGCAGGTTCGGGTTCATCCTTGTTTGGGACATCGATTTCTAGTACGAGTTCGCCTTCATTTGGGTTCGCCACAGCTTCATCTACGGCCAGTTCTGCTCTGTCCACTTTTGGAGCATCTTCATCCGCAGCAAGTTCAACAGGTTCATCTTTATTCGGGGCAACTTCATTCGCAGCGAGTACAACAGGTTCATCTTTATTCGGGCCATCTTCACCCACAGCTGGTACAACAGGTTCGTCTTTATTCGTGGCATCTTCATCGGCTTCTACTACTCCTTTGTTTGGCTCCACAGCAAGTTCAGGTCCATCCCTCTTTGGGGCATCTGCATCAGCAGTAAGTTCAGCTTCATCCCCGTTTGGAGCCAGCGGTGGTTCCTCTCTATTTTTATCTTCACCAGCGCCAACTGCAGCTCCTACTACTAGCTCTTTTGGCTCTTCATCATCGTCTTCAGCTTCTACTACTACTGCAGCCACAGCTCCATCCTTTTCAAGCTTGCTATCATCAAGCTCTGCTTCAAATTCAACCACCGCTTCACCATTCTTGACTTCTACTGGGTTCTCTTTCTCGAATAGTTCGGTATTTTCTAAGAGCATTGCAAGTACAACATCAACACCAACCTCTACGACAGCTCCTTCGTTAACAGCTGCTGCTTCTTCATCAAGCTTGTCAGGCTTCTCTTTTGCTCCACCTTCTTCTTCAGCCTCTCAACCTACCTTTGGATATGGCAATGCAGCTGCCATGTCTAAACCCACTTCTTTGTCTTTTGGAACGTCATCGGCACCATTGTTTTCTACAGTTACCACCACTACTAGTGCTCATTCTCCAGCAGCTAGTATTGCTGCTGCTTCTGCTTCTTCTTCTTCTTCTGCTGCTGCTTCAACACCGGCATTCCCTGCATTTAACTTGAGTTCATCTTCTGCTACTACGGCTCCTTCATCAGCTGTGCCTGCAAGTTCAGCTGCTTCATCAGCTGCTGTGAGTTCTTTTTCTGGATTTGGTGTGACAAATGCAGCTGCTACGTCAGGGAGTACCAGTTCTTTCACTGGTTTTTCATTATCGACAAAACCATCTGCTCCTGCTTCATCCTCACAAGCGCAATCCACTACTGCTGCTCCTGTATTCAGTGAGTTGTTTACTTATGTACTTCAATATTTGGGGTTTCTTTATTTCCTCAATGCTTATTGTCTTTCTTTTTTTTGTACTGTTATGTTGCCTTTTAATAATTCTTACATTCTTAATCTGAATTTCTTTTATCCCGTAATCAGTCATTTCATAGAATGCTAAGGTGCCTAGATCAAGTACCAGTGATTATATGTTGAAGCATCAAATGTGTATTTTTTCTGTAGGTCTCCCTGCTTCCAGTTCTGCTGCTTCAATAACTTCAACTTCCAGCACTACGACTGCCCAAACATCATCAACCCTTGTTGTAGCTTCAAGTAGTGGGTATGTTTTGGTTTCTTGTTGGTGGCTTTATGTTTTAGCCTTTGCTGTTATTCAAAACCATATCCCAGTTTCTGTCAATATTAAATTCCAACGCTTTTATTGCTTAAAGTATTAGCTTTCGGTACTTTGTCTTTGAAACTTTATCTAGAGAAATAGCTTTTGGGAGGTTAAATCTGTCTTTTCTTTCTGCCCCGGCTTTCTCATATGTCCTTTGACATTACTTAATGTTTGGTTTTGCTTGTATCAAATTGTTCAATGAAAATTAAAAGTGAAGTCATTGGAAATGAATGTCTAGCGCCTAAGCCAGTGGCACTATAGATAGGGCTGAAACTGTATCATAACATTCCGTACAACTTGCCTTGGGTGGGCTTGTGATGAGACATGAATGTAGCATGTAGAATTGTGGGGAGTGCTAACTATAACTGGTCTCATTTTTGGGGGTTCTAAAATCTTTAAATATTTTATCGAGCCTTTTGATATTTTGAACCGTAGGAACTATTCCTCTGCTATTCTCTTTAGTTTTTACTAGGATGGCATCCTTTTTCTTATTACTTGTTTTGTATGTTTCTTTAATTTCAGTGATATATTTTCTCCAATTTTCTTTAAACTATCTTCAGCAAAAATGTCAGTGAAAGTTATTGTTGAATTTATGCAAGGCTTCTGGTGTAACTTCTGTATGACGCCTCCCTTTTTTTTTTATATATTTTTTTTATAGGACTAGTTTAAGTGCCACAGCTGCAGTATCTGCTGCACCAAAATTACCATCTGAGATAACAGGAAAGACAGTGGAGGAGGTAATTCCCTTTTTATTTTATTTTATTAATTTTTCTTCATGATGTAAAATCCTTCTCTTTCATGTGTCTTCCTAAGTGTTCCCGTTAACTATTTCATGCTACATGAGCAATTACGCTAAAGGGTAAGTTATATTTGTGTTATGACATTGTTTTTGGTCCCAAATAAGTTTTTATATTCATTAAAACAAATCACAGAGATAAAGGCTAAATAATATTCACAAGATATTTGAAGTATAAAGAAGCCAAAAATATGAAGTGGGAATGTGGAATATGTATCTCAAGCATATGCAAAGCAAACAAGTATGACGATTCTGCCTCTTTCAAACCTTACCATCTTTATACTAGAGCTTTTCTCAAATTTCACTTTTTAGAAGGAAGAAAAAGCAGTAGTTATTTTTAGTGGATCCAAGATGCCTGCTGCAGTGTTGCCGTTTCTATTTCTTAGCTTCCCCATCTTCATTCTAATTTTGGTTGTCATTGAGCTAATAAGCTTTTCTACTTTTGGGCTAAAGATCATCAAGGAATGGAATGCTGAACTTCAAGAACGCACTGGAAAATTTCGAAAGCAGGCCAGTGCAATAGCTGAGTGGGACAGGCGAATATTGCAGAATCGTGATGTTCTTCTTAGGCTTGAGGTATTATATTGTCTTGTGAGATAGCATTCTTGTTAGTGTCATTTGTAAGCCTTGTTGACAAAGCATTTGTATGTTGATGTGACAAGGTTCTTATATTCTCCTCATATTTACTGAAATTTAGCAACGTAATTTGTTGGTGTATATCTCTCTTCTCCTAATTCTAAACATCAATTCAGATTGAAGTGGCAAAAGTGGTTGAGGCCCAAGCTAGCTTGGAGCGACAACTGGAGTTAATTGAGACTCACCAGCAAGAGGTATTTTAAAAGTGTTTTTGCTAGTATACATTTTGCTAACTTTTTATCATAGCATAGTTTAGGATTAGACGACCTAATGACTGTTGTTAATGCTGATTCGCTGGAGGAAATCTCTGCATAGCTATGAAAATTTATATTGCTTCAGCTCAGCATGAAGTTGTTTTTTTTTTTTTGGTTAGTTATGCTGTTCTTGTTCTAATGGGTTTTTTATTTTTCATTATTATTGATGATTTTACCATCTTGATTGTTGCTTCCTTATCTTATGGAGCTACTTTTAGGTTCTCACTGGTAAGCCATCTTATCAAATATTGTAATTGTTAATATTGGTTGATGCTTGTTGCGAAGTTTAAGTCTTTAACAATCAATTTCGTGTATTTTTTTTTTCTGTTGTTCAATATGTTTGAATATTTACTGAATAAGGGCATGAAATATATATTCAACGCAGAACTGTTAGCTTTAATTGGTCATATTTTCTAGTAGATTGGCTTGTATGGTGGATAACTATTCTAGAAAGAAACACATTTACATTCTTCTATTGGTGGTGAATCAAATTGTTGCAAGATTGCCTTCTGCCATGATTGTCTGCTCATTCCAGGTGCTACTTGAGAGCACAGTTCTCCTTTTCTAGTGAAAGTCTCCCCAATATTCAGATGCAGAAATATAAGGTTTTCTCCTGTCAAACATAGAAACTATTTTGTTTCCAGTATGACACTATAGTTTGTACTTTGTAGTGTTTAAGTTTTGTGAAGATCATATGAACACTCGTAGTATGAATTCTTAAAGTGCCCTGTATAATGATTGTGTAAGCTATTGCTTGCCTCCTAATCACTATCTTTTGACTGTATATTCATGATTATGTGTTTATAATCCGATAAAACCATTACTATTTAAAAAAAATATATGTTTGATGAATATTTAATGCATCTCCTCCTTAGGTTGATAAAGCTTTGCTAAGTATGGAAGAAGAAGCAGAACGTATTTATAAGGATGAGCGTGGATTGCTTCTTGATGATGAAGCTGCATCAACACGAGATGCAATGTGAGAACTAGCTTGTTTTAACTTTAGTCTAGTTTGACATCTCATCCCAAGCTTGGTCTTTTTGTGCGCAAGTGAGCTTTGCTTAAAATATATTCATTGGACGAACCTTATCTTGGCTAAACTGGAGCTGGATGAGACTGTGCTCGTCACCTCTGTTCATATTGATTGATTGCAAGTGTAAGAGTATATTTTTTATTTGCTTTTCAGGTATGAGCAGGCAGAAATTGTGGAGAGGGAATTGGAGCAGATGACAGAACGGATTAAATCTATTATTGAGACTGTAAACTCTAGTCAGGTAACTGCTCTCTGTCTTATGATCGGACTTGCTCTAATTAGCCTTTACAACGTAAGCAGAAATTAAAATTGCCTTCTACTTTGCTTAGGGTGGGGAACTTGAGGCACTTGATGGAATGACTCCTTTAGATGTGGTTGTCAGAATCTTGAATAATCAACTGACTTCTTTAATGTGGATTGATGAGAAGGTTAGTAATCTTTTGCCTGCCTTTATTTGTCTCCTTAATTGTATAAAATAATTGTTAGATTTGTATTCTTTGAGATTGAAAAATCTATGTAATATTAATTAGTGACATTTTGGGTGCTAAGTTGGAAATTAGTTGGTCTGTTTACACTTCTTAGGAGATGTTTTTGGTTCCCTATTTACCTGCTTCAAATACGTATATAATGAACAGCATCTTGTGACAGTCCCAAAAGTTATTTGGCAGCTAGAAGTTAAGTTAATTATTGTGTAGTCAACATTCTCTTATCTTCCTGGACTTTATAAGAGTTATATTTCTGTACCAGGAACTCTGACTTATCTGAACCATTTATTTCAGGCTGAGGAATTCTCTTCGCGTATTCAAAAGCTTGCCACACAGGGTTCTGCTGCAGATCGAGAATTAATGGCTCCGAAATTTTGGATGTCATGATCCTGGAATTTGTACACTTAAATTGAAGGTTGTCCCAAAGTTAGCATGTAGTAAATGCAGAGCAAAGGCTAAATACACATTTGTTAATGTTTCAACAAAATACATTTAATGTTTGATTTATTCCCCTTTCTTAGGTTTGGTGCTCTGACAACATTTTTCAGGTGATGTAATTGGTGGTGATTATAGCCATTAAAGTTAGTACAAGATTTTGCAAGCTGATGGCTTCACCTAATAGTTGTTACCTTTCTTAGGAGGATTGAGTTTCAAGGTTCGCCTTCCCTTACACCTCCCAGATGTATAAAAAAAATTAGGACCTTCGTTTTTCCAGGCTATTAGGGTTAATGCCCGTGGGTGGATATGATTATGGAAATTTTGAACGATCTCTTATAAGATGAGTGAAGAGAGTAATCCAACTGCAACTGAAAAGGCTCTGTGCATCAGATATTGGTTTGGCTAATGAGATGAAAAGCATGAAGCGAAATTGTTCAAGGTCGTGGTGGTAAAGATAATTACATGGAATGAAGAAAATGTTTGGATCACAGAGTAAACCAATCATGTTTGTTGCGTCTTTGATCACACCCTTTGAACCCGAGCTACGATCACGATCAACAGTACGACAATGGAGAGAAGCAGCGATGATCTAATTGTTTCGTCCAACTGGTCTCTGGTTTCTTCATCAGGTTTTTCACTCCCACGAGTTTGGAAAACCTCATTCAGAAGAGACTGGAATTTCATTACGAGTTCTGTGATTTTTGCTTTTGTCATGTCCAAAATCCACTGTAAAATGACTTTGCCGAGGTCTGCTCCACCGGTTGAATTCCATGCCCTTCCATTTTCAACTGCAAGGACAGAAGACTCAGACTGCAAATTCAAACAAAATGCACTCATGATTGACATTGTTTTATAGAAAAGAAATACAAGAATGTCCTTCTGTAGTAACTTCATGCTGGAGCCTGGCCTGCAGGATCTTCTTAGGTAGACAAAAAGGTGCTCTTTTTCTTTCTGAGAGGAGTTCTCTAACTATTCCCTGTTCTATTTAATTCATTCCATTGCATTGCTCCATTTTTATTTCTTGGAAGCTGCTATGTCAGCTGCAGGATTCCGCCTCATATTTTGGTCATTACTACATTTCCAGACTTCATGGCAGATAAAAGGAACAAGAATCTATCTTCAAAATTAAAAAAGGCTAAGCACATATTTAGCCATAGGAATTAGGCTAAGATGATGGCTATCAGAAACAGACCTGCAGGGTGGGGCAACTCACAAAGCTTCCGAACTAACTCATTCTTGCTAATAGCATCCCAAAGAGCTTTATCAGATGATAGGGCAACGACCAGCCTCTACATGCACATTCCACTCACATAAGAGAATTTAGAAAATGTAGCGAAAAGTACAAGTCACAAGAATTTCGAAGCAGAACTAGCAATTCAGGAACTAGTAACCACCCATCAAAATATCTGAAAAAGTTAATTCAAGGCGTGAACCTTAACAGATGGCTCTTTCAGGAGCAAGCTGAAGGTATCGTAGGCTCTTCCAAGCCCTTGAGATTGCCATCGTCTTGAGTCACAACTGTCCAAAAGAGCCTGCAGCCATTTCAACTGTGGTGTAGATGAAGAAACACCATGAATGAAACTGGTCGAGAAAGCAAAATTATTAGAAACGCTCGTCGAAATAAGTATAAATTCTCAAGAAGGTCAGAAACCACTCACTTCTGGAGGGCAGCTACAGCATCTTCAACTTCTGGCTTGGACGGAACAGGCCCCAAAACAAAATTATTGAAGGACCCGGTTACTGTTTTATTCTCTTTTCCACCTCCAGCCTCTAGCCTTCTACAAATTTCACCATGGCAGGAGGAGGAAGAAGAAGCAGTAGAAGAAGGTCCAAGTGGAGCAATATGATTGGATGGAACTGGAAGGCTAAGACTGTTTGAAGAAGACGAAGATACGGAAGGAACACTAGAGGAGGAAGAATTGAATCGAATCATTGGAAGCTCAATGTTCATGGTTCCTCCTCCCATGGTTCTGCTCCTTTTAGTTATTCAGTAATCTAAGCTTTGCTCTTGCAATTGCTGTTGCAAGGCATAGGATAGGTCTTAGGGCACTCATCTAGTAAGTTCGAAGATTTTAGCTTTTCCTTTTTTCCTGGGCCAATAGAACTTTGTACAATTACGCTTGGTTGAGATATTATTCTTGTAGATATTATTCTAAGTTCCATTTCTTTCCCTTAGAGAAAAAAACAAAACAAATGTTACTATCAACAAATAAGTTATATAAGCAAATTAATTACATTTAATTTAAGCAATAAATTCCAATCATATAGACTGAAATTGGGTGGTTTTTGGATGACTGGGTGTGTACCATTTCTTTTGTATAACATACAAAGTAAGTTAAAGCTTGAAATTTCCATCTAAACCCTTCACACTGTGTATTGCAACTTGGGAGGGTTGTGGTGTGAGGTTTTGTTTCTAAAGTTAGCCTTGTCCTTCTCCGTAGGAAAGGCGATGGAAAATTATTGAAGAAAAAGAAACTATAAAAAGGAAAAAGAAAAAGGGGAATTGACTGATTCTTATAAAAGGTACAAGAAGAAAACATCCCCAGATTCGGAGCAGCATTTTCCACTCATATGATCATATCCAGCGATACAACAAAATGGTTTCATAACCTTTCCCTGTCTCTCTCTTGCATTGGTAAAACACATGCAGACAGTGGCTGATATGATTCGGTGTTTTTGTTTTTGTAATGTTGTGATCACAGATGGAGGACAGCAGTGCGCCTTCAAGTTACGTAAGGCTTACAAAGGAAAAAGAACCTCTGGAAGATATCACGCCTGGAGAACTCAATCAACCCGTTCAAGTTCCTCAGGTTTTTCCATTGTTTAATGATCATTTCTCTTTTCCTCACACGCTTTCGATCTGCATTCTCTTACTATCTGTTTCTATTGCAAGTATATTGCATTTAAATTAGTTCTTGAATTGAAGCAGAGAATTCTTTCTTTATACATTGCATGGTGTTGGTTCTTTTGTGGGCTTATTTCATTTTTTGTCGGATCTGGGTCCGATGTTGATGCATTGAACAGATTAAATTCTTTGTTAGTTTGCTATTTGAAGTGGTATGGCATGGTTTACGAGATACTTGTCCTTATAATATCTCTATTTGAAGTGGTATGGCATTGGATTTCTCTTGCTTTGTTGTTCAAAAATGAAAACTGTGTTTTCCTTCTTGGTTTGCTTCTGATTTTCTCTACCATTTTGATTTATAGTTGATAGTTCGTACTTGTCCTGAATGTGGGCAACCTCTACCTCAAAGCTATGAGCCACCTGCTGATGAAGACTGGACAACAGGAATTTGCGGCTGTCTTGAAGATACTGATAGCTGTAAGAGTCCAATCCAGTTTTTAACTGAATATACAGAACAAGCAGCATAATGCTGAAAAGAGTTTTACTGATAATCATACTACTATATATGGAGCATTGCGCAAGGCTCATTTACATCAAGGATAAGTATAGATAATTTCTTGTCTATTCTGAGGATTTCACATTATTGTCATTGTTGTTCATTTTTAGATCATTACATAATGTTTCAGGCTGGACTGGTCTCTTTTGTCCATGTTTGTTGTTTGGGCAAAACGTTGAAACCTTGAGAGAAGATATTACAAGGAAAGATGCGTGCTTCTGTCATGCTTTATGTGTAGAGGGAGGAATGTTGGTTGCAGGAGCAACTCTACTCGTCCATGGTATTGACCCTAAAACATCATTTCTCATATGTGAGACCCTGGTTTTCGCTTGGTGGTTGTGTGGCATCTACAATGGCTTGTTTCGACAATCACTGCAGAAAAAATATCATCTCAAGGTATGTTCATTCTTGTGAATATAAGCACAGGTTGTCTGAGGTATTTGCCCTGGATTTACAAACCTAGAGACATTTGTAGTTATGTACCCTTTAGCAAACTATGAGCAATGCTATCAGTTTCATAAAGATGTGAACCGCAATGAATGAATATCAGCTATGCATCTTTGGAAAGGTAGAATGCCCTTGCATGTTGTTCTGTTGCTACCCTTTATGTTTCTCTTTCCCAACATTTATTCCCTGGTTTTTGAGGAAACACCAGGGAAGCTGTTCATCCTAGCATCAAAAATTGTGGCAGTTGTTGGCTGACTGCTAGCTCTATGCTGTTGTTTAATTTTGCAGAACTCACCCTGTGATCCCTGCATGGTTCACTGCTGCTTGCATTGGTGTGCCTTGTGTCAAGAGCATAGAGAGATGAAGAACCATCTATCTGACAACGCTGAAACCCAAATGACCGTTGTAAAGCCTCCTCCTGTTCAAGAGATGAACTCTGATGATCAGAAACAGGAGCCTGCATCATCATCTACATCTGCAGCATCTTCTGGAAATGGTGAACACACAAATTTGGAGACACAGCCCGTATAGAATTTCCTGATCACCATCAAAACATATACTACTATCTTTTTTTTTTTTTTTTCCTTTTTCCTGTTTATTTTGCAAGTCTAAGCCAAGCAACTGATTGAAAGGAGGATCAGGAGGGCTGATTGCTAACATACAAGAACAATAGTTTTTTTTATCTTTTTGTAAGCATTGAATTCATTGATTAAACACATTGAATTTAGAAAAAAAAATTGAAACTGGTAACTCATATATCTCATTGTTATCATGTTTATACATATATAGAGACCATAGACTGTAAATTAACAAGGGTAAAAGGAAAAAAGTGTGTTTCTTGGATGAACAGAAATGGTGAAAAATTGCTAGGAAATTAACATAGTAAACTTTCAAAATTTATACTTATAAAATTAAATGTTTAAAAAATTTTCAAAATAAATATTTTCAAAATAACAAATAAATTTATTTATTCACGAGATTAATGTATAAAATTTATACACCGATAATATATCAAATATAAATCTGAATTTTTATTTTCTATTTTTTAATGGCCTAGCCAAATAAGTCACTCATATAAACAGATTTTGGATCATTCGCCATGGGCTCATGGCAAATGCACAAATGTCAAGTGGGTCTAGACTCCAGAGGTAAGATCCAAATTACCTGACCCATTAGAGAAAACGAATCCGAATTCTTCCCGACCCTAACCCGCTCCATTTTCAACTCCAAATTCTCCCATTTTTTGAATTTTTTTTTGAAATCAAAATTCAAAACCCCAAGAAAACCCATTATCTTGGGTTTAAGGTTTTACCCGCACCAGCCACCATCAGCTGCACAGCTATTCCGCCATGGCGCGATTCCCGAGATCCCCAGTCCAGCGCCTGCTTTACACCTTCTACTCCGCCAAAACGACGCCGTCCCCGTCCCCGTCCCCGACCACCGCCCTGGTCCTCGGGAACTTCGAGGTCCGTCATTTCTCAGCGGGCAGCGTCGCGCGAGCAAAGGACGACAAAGAACCATGGTGGAAAGAGTCCATGGAACGACTCCGAAACATCGGAATCTCTGCCCACATCGACTCGGGCAAGACCACGCTAACGGAGCGGGTTCTCTATTATACGGGCCGGATCCACGAGATCCACGAGGTTCGTGGTAAGGATGGCGTCGGAGCAAAGATGGATTCTATGGATTTAGAAAGAGAGAAAGGAATTACTATCCAGTCTGCTGCCACGTATTGCACCTGGAAAGATTACAAGGTTCGTAAGAAATTTAAATTTTAGTTTGACCAAATTTGACAGTTTCTTTTACTTATTTTCTAAGCTTTGCATAATTTTTATGTGTTCTTGTAGATTAATATAATCGATACGCCCGGTCACGTTGATTTTACTATAGAAGTGGAGAGGGCGCTGCGTGTTCTTGATGGTGCCATTCTAGTTCTGTGCAGTGTTGGTGGGGTACAAAGTCAGTCAATTACTGTTGATCGACAAATGAGAAGATACGAGGTTCCGAGACTTGCGTTTATTAACAAGCTTGATCGAATGGGAGCTGATCCATGGAAAGTTCTCAACCAGGTACATTTGGATACATTCATGTAATGGGATGGATGTTGTTGCTCTTCATATATTCAACAATGGCATGCTGATCATGTTTGTGTCTGTTTTCAGGCGAGGTCTAAGCTTCGACATCATAGTGCAGCTGTGCAAGTTCCAATTGGCCTGGAAGAAAATTTTCAGGGTCTTATTGACCTTGTGCAATTAAAAGCTTATTATTTTCATGGTTCCAACGGGTTTGTTTCTATCTCTGTGGTTTGCTTAATCTTCTTTGAGTGTAGGGTCTTTTTCATGTCTATATCCTATTTTCTTACTATCTTCTACCTATTGCAGAGAAAAGGTTGTTGCTGAAGAAATACCAGCTGACATGGAGGCCATAGTCGCAGAAAAGAGACGTGAACTGATAGAAATGGTTTCTGAAGTGGATGATAAACTTGCGGAAGCTTTTCTAAATGATGAGCTTATTTCGTCTGCTGATCTTGAGGTCTGTTAGGGGAAATGATGCTTTTTTACTTCTTATTTTCGAGTGACAGAAAGTGCACTTGATACAGCACATCTAGTGTCAGTTTGAATTTCAAAGATGGCTGAGAGAAATAGTATGGTTGCCTTGACTGTTGCTTTATGGCCATCAAATCTTCCAAGCTTAAACGTGTCTCTGAAAATTAAATGTGTGGGATGTTACGGCCTCTCACTGAATTTAGAATGATCCTATATGTTGAATGGTTTTTCATCGTTCTGTGTTTGTGCTGTATGGGTGCATGATGGAGGCTTTTTCTTGCCTCAAATGTTGAAATGTGAAATTAGCTTGTCTATTACCCAAATGTAAACCACAGAACATTTATCTTCCTATCTTTGTCAACCTTGCATTTCTAAATGCTGCTATTTTCTTTTTTCTTATCCTCATTTCAAACTTGGTTTGAGTCCTAAATTTTGGAGTTTGCTCTGAGCAGGAAGCAATTCGTAGGGCAACGGTAGCACGGAAGTTTGTACCTGTATTCATGGGTAGTGCATTCAAAAACAAGGTACTTTGTGATTGATTCTGTTCTCTGGTTTCTGTTAATTCACAATCTAGCAACTTATGTCAATAAGGCACTCATTGGAATTCCCCTTCTGATATTGTTTGAAAGGAAACAACATTATGTAAATAGTTTTACATATTGTCAAATTGTTAGATGCCTTTTATCAGACAGTTTCTCTTCTGCTCAGGGCGTGCAACCGCTTTTGGATGGTGTCCTTAGTTACTTGCCATGTCCGGTTGAAGTCAGTAACTATGCTCTTGATCAAACAAAGAATGAAGAGAAGGTATAAGATTGATACTACAAGTTTTCCCTGCCCCCAAAAAAGAATTTGCTAAACTGATCAGAAACACTTTTTTTTTTATTATGTTTAATGCTCTTGTAGGTTACGTTGTCTGGAACCCCAGATGGACCACTTGTAGCATTAGCTTTTAAGTTGGAGGAAGGGCGGTTTGGTCAGCTAACATATCTCAGGTAATGCGACTGCATCATTTTCCATTGATGTTCTGCATTGTATTAGTATTTCATGATTCATTTATGCTAACAGTAACTTATATTGATGAAGAGTCTACGAGGGTGTGATCCGAAAGGGTGATTTTATAGTGAACATAAACACAGGCAAGAAGATTAAGGTAAGTTAATATGTTGCTTCTTGCTCTCTTGGGCCAATTTTTTCATCCTTTTTTATGAAATTACCTGTTGTATGATCATGTTGGGCTACACATCTGTTTTCATTGTGTGAATCTACCCATCCAATGCATCTTGCTGGAGGTTTTATTTTCTGTTTCTTGTGTTAGTGTGATTTGATCCTTGAGTTACAAAGAATAAGATGAACTTTCAGAAATAGCACATATATCAAATTAACATATGATTTTAGTTTGTGATTTGTGGTAGAAAACAGTTTTAGGTGAAATTTTGAAAAGCAGTTACCTGTGATGTATGATCATGTACTTGCGACATATGCATGTTAATTTCACCTTGACATGCAAGGTGACTGATCATCAGAATTGGGTAACTAATTTTGGGTCCTTTTATTAATATAATGTTCATAAGCTGTATGGTGCGATTAGGTCTGAACATGTGTTGTTCCTGGTGTTGTGGTTGATGTGATCCACTTCCATAACATGAGGATACTCTTTGTTTCTTTTTAATACAATTTGTTGTTTGTCTCTTATCCTTGCTGTACTGACCTCATCTTTAGAGGTTAGTCTACATGCTAAATATTTACCATTTTGGCCCAGGTACCTCGCTTGGTTCGGATGCATTCTGATGAAATGGAGGTCAGATTTTACTTGACATCAGTCTTAGTAATTATGTGAAATGTTGGATCTTTAAGCAGATGGTTAATTTAATATTATTTTCATTGGGGTTTATAATACACAGGACATTCAAGAGGCACATGCTGGGCAAATAGTTGCAGTTTTTGGCGTAGACTGTGCTTCAGGTCCTACTTCTCACTTTACATATTTCTGCACAAGTGCAAGCTTTTGTTTCTTCAATGTTGTTTAATTATTCAAGGAGCTTGACTACACAGGTCTTCTAAACCAATAAAAATGTCAGAATGATTGTTCGTTGAGTAGACCAAGCTCTTGTTTTTCCTTTAGCAAAAAATGGAAAAAAAAGGAAAGGCTTTCAAAATTTTGTCATGACGTATGGCTTTTTGTGTTTCCAGGAGATACATTTACTAATGGGTCTGTCAAATACACCATGACTTCTATGAATGTCCCTGAGCCAGTGATGTCATTAGCTGTTCAGCCGGTCTCCAAAGATTCTGGAGGACAAGTGAGTGTTTTCTAGTCCCATGTAAATGGTTGTGTGCATGCACTCAATCATAGCATATGGTGTTAAGTAATGATGAATCTTGTGTTTCTCTGAACTAGTTTTCGAAGGCATTAAATCGTTTTCAGAAAGAGGATCCGACCTTCCGTGTGGGCCTGGATGCTGAAAGTGGGCAGGTGTGTTATGGAAACTTTATTCAATGATTCTTCTTATACTATACATAACTCAATTTTGCATTAACTGACTTAAAGTGTCATTTATTTATTTATTTACATAGACAATTATCTCTGGAATGGGAGAGCTTCATTTGGACATATACGTGGAGCGGATACGGAGAGAATACAAGGTGTTCACCCGTTCTTTTGTTGAGCATGTAAAATTAGGGTTTCTAAGATTATTATGTTTGAAAATTTCAATCAAAACAGGTTGATGCAACTGTCGGAAAGCCTCGGGTGAATTTCAGGGAGACTATAACTCAACGTGCTGAATTTGATTATTTGCATAAGAAGCAATCTGGAGGACAGGGTCAATATGGACGAGTATGTGGGTAAGCAGTAGTGATTTGTCATTTGGCTTATCTTTTTATCTACATCTTACTTAAAATATCCATCTTGTATTGGAATTAGATGCAGTTCCTTGATAACCGAATTGCTTGTGAGATACTGCTTTCCTTTCTGGGCTAGTTATTTTATATTATCAGATTTGGTTTTGATTTATTTGTACAATTATTAATTGGCAAGATTGTCTAGTCTTCCCTACGTGTTCAATGATGTGATCTGTTGATTTCTTGTATTGATAGGTATGTTGAACCACTTCCACCAGGGTCTCCAATTAAATTCGAATTTGAGAACATGATTGTTGGACAGGCTATACCATCAAATTTTATTCCTGCAATTGAGAAGGGTTTCAAAGAAGCTGCAAATTCGTGAGTATATTTCTTTTGCTCCCATGTTTCTTGAAACTCGCCGCAGATTGATTACTTTTGTACATAGTTTTGCTGTGAGTATGAATTGATGCATTAGTTCTGTGTTCTTACAGGGGTTCATTAATTGGGCATCCAGTTGAAAATCTCCGGATTGTTTTAACTGATGGTGCTTCTCATGCAGTAGATTCCAGTGAGCTTGCATTTAAGTTAGCTGCTATATATGCTTTCAGACAGGTATGTCTAATGTGCTTAGGATGATATCCTGTGAAGTGATTGCCTTTTATCTTTTGGTTTTCCTTCCTATTGTTCTTTTTGGCATGGCATTACTGGATTTTCATATTTCATATTTTAACTTGTGAAACAGTGTTATACTGCTGCAAGGCCTGTGATACTGGAACCTATTATGTTGGTTGAGTTGAAAGTACCAACAGAATTTCAGGGTACAGTAGCTGGTGATATTAACAAGTGAGTTCGCTGTTCTTCTCTTTGTACTTAAATGTTATCATGACTTAGCAATTCTTTGATCTTTCAACATTTTCATCTGAATTTCTTCATGTCAATTATGTGCAGGAGGAAAGGTGTTATTGTTGGAAATGATCAAGATGGAGATGATTCTATCATTACTGCCAATGTAAGTGAAGCTTACTTTCTCTTGAATGGTTTGACTTAGCTGCATTTCCAAGCAAATGATTGAACTTTTGACTGCATCATCTGGTTCTTGTTGATCGTCTTCTGCCTTTGGTTGAATTTTAATCTTTAATCATTATGGATAAATCTTGGAAATTGCTCTTAAGTTTGTCCTTAGACATTCATGAATTATCTTGTTGCTCTATTGTTAACTCTGGTTCATCTTTATTGAATTCTACCTTCGTATAATTATAGAGGGATGTTCACCACCTATTACATGATGTGTTAATCGTGTAAGGCATATGATATTTGTAGATCTTCAGGTTGTCTGACATTTGTGCATCAGTGCCATTTTGCAAAGAAAAATGATAATAATAATTATTTGGTGATGTGGGCATGTCATGCTATGGTTGTGCATATATGGTAATACAGCGTAGTGCCCCCATAGCAGGAAAAGATAATGCCCCTTTACCCCAGAAAGCTGATATCATTTTCTTGTCCTTCTAGGTCCCGTTGAACAATATGTTTGGATACTCAACAGCACTTCGATCAATGACACAGGTGAGGCATAAAATGAATTCATACGCAACATTTGGGATTCCACCCGTTCACTCGATGTTGTCTTGGATTACATAAATTTGTTTTCTGTTTTTATGTATTGTAATATATTCTCAATTCAGGGTAAAGGCGAATTCACAATGGAATACAAAGAGCACTCACCAGTGTCTCAGGACGTGCAAATGCAATTAGTGAACACTCACAAGGCCAGTAAAGCAGCGGAATAATCAGGGGGAATGATGGCTGAAGAACTAGCCACAAGCCCGTATAGTCTTTTGCAAGCCAGCCATATAATTTGTTGTGATATTCATTTTTGCTATATTTATTTAGGCTATATGATCCGTCATAGAGTGATAAAAAATTTTGGAAGCACAATAAGTTTAAACCGTCATTTCTAGGCCAACATAATATTTCATCATCAATTATATAAGGACCTAACAAGTTTTTATTATAACATTTGATGTAATTGTCCTCAGCATTAATATAGATATTCATTGTATTTTATTTTGTGCACATTCTAATGTACATTCAACAGATGTAAACCCTTCTTCCAAAAAGAATAGAAAAAAGAAAAAGAATTTGGAGCCTCGTTTTGTTGAAGAGAGATGGAACAGAACTAGATAATGTATTTTCTTTTCAAGGAATATATGATGGTATGAAATGAGTTATTTCCAGGCTGTCCCAAGAATGCAAACGAGACCTTACATTTTCAGGGTTGAGAACCCTTCATCCATCTGCAACTAGTTAAATGCTTCTCGCTGTTTCGTGGGGAGCTCTAGATCTGGCTCTGACTCACTGAGGGGTGCGAAGTACTGATCCACCATATCGTTAGACACTTTTTCCAAGCTCGAAGGTGCCCACTACATCACCAAAAGATGAAAATAATCAGGTTTGTTCATATCAGAATAGACTAAGTACGGAACAGAATGGAGAAAAAATGACACCTTTGGTGCTAAGTCCTTGTCCACCATTCGTGCTCTAACACCCTAACAGGAAAGGAAAATTGATGAAGTTCATGAAAGTTTTGTTCATTTACTGGGAAATGGGAGATCAAAAAGGATTTTGTACCTCACAGAAGTCGCTAGAGATTTGCTTAGATATCGCTTGTAAGGTCATTCGGTACTCACGGGCCAAGCACTGGTCTAAGGTTTGAAATCTGCCTTCTCGTATCTGAATTCACAATGATGGCACCTTGGATTAATTTTTATTAAAAGGTGGGAGAGGAGGGTGATGGCTAAGGTTAAGGAACACTCACCGATCTCAAGGATACCTTTAAGCTCAATGGAGAAGCTTCTTTAAGTTTCCTTAATGTGGAATTGCACCATGCATCATTTGTCGCAGATGCCTCACTTTCCTAACAAAATTGTTAACGGTAAAATACCATAAACACTGGATAGCTTCAAGATTGACAGGTGAAAAATCAAAAACTTGTTCAAGGACTGACAAACAGAAAAAGGAAGAAAGAAAATGCTTACCAAAGCATCCATAATTTCCTCAACCGTGTCATGGGCAAAACATTTATCAAGCATTTCAATCCTATATAAGTAATATGACTAATGAGAAGATATTCGAAATAATAAGCATAGGTTTTGGCAAAAAAGACTCAAAGAGTGCTGAAATGGTAGCAGTTATAACCAGTAACAGGGACAGAGTAGTCCTTTGCTTCTTTAATGTACTAAAACTTATGCAAAATATGGTCTCATATATGAGAAAACAAACCTGTGCAGTGCACTGATCTTTTCAGGATAGGGTACATCACTATATTTCTCCAAAGAAGATTCAATGACAGAAGGATCGTCAGTTACCAAGTTTCCAAGCTCGTCATCAATCAATGGAAGCTTCTGTTAGAGGAATAAAGTATTACATAACCAGGAAAGAACAATAAATTATAAGGAAACAGAAACAACTAAGATAAAAGCCCATCAGTACTAACCTCAGTGTGTGAGTAGTGTGTTGCAAGCCCGCAAGAAATCATTTCAGCTCCCCTGAGTTTTTCTCCTGTCAGTCCCAAGTATTCCCCTGTAAACAAGAACATATTCCTTTAAGATATTAGTATATAATAAATTAAATAAAATCAAGCTTGATATACATGCCAGAGCAATATCCTAACAATACCATCTTCGATAGACTAATCAAAACAGCAAAATAAACAAATGGGTAATAAGATCATTCTATTTATGTCCCAAACTCAAGAACACTGTGAATCCATGACGAAACATTTACATTACCGGTCCAAGAATCAGTAATGAAAAGCAAGTCGAATAGGCATAAAGTAAACGTACTGTAAAATGATACCTAAGCGACCAGGTAGACGAGGAAGGTAAAAAGATGCCCCAGCATCAGGATGGAAACCAATCTGAGTTTCAGGAGTAGCAAAAACCTAGAAAATTTTGAGGCTAAGTTACTTGAGTTTCCAAAGAGCAAGTTGATTATTATGACTAGAAAAACTGAAAAATATGCAAAATGGCTATTTGAGTTCAGAAAGAGTCTCCTAAACAAGGTGATTACTTGGTAAAAAATACATGGCCAAATTTTCAAAAAATAAACAAATACATGGCCAAATTTTCAAAAAATAAACAAATACATGGCTTGCACAGAAATAAGCAGCAATAAAAGAATAAGGGGAAGAAAAATAACCAAAATTAAATCACTACAACATACAGTTCTACCAGTTGCAAGCCGAAATGTCCCAGGTATAGAAACTCCAGCTCCACCACCCATAGTAATGCCATCTAAAATAGCCACCTAGAAACCAATCACTACATTATGAGTCACTACAAAGAATTCAATACACATATCTCTATCCACGTAACTCCATAAAGAGAAAATATCGTTTCAATAAGCTTATAAAAAGAATCAATCACCAACAACACAAAAGGATTATTCATATTTCAAAAGAGCAAAATTTGGAGCGAATACTCACATGCGGCTTCAAATAAGTACCTACATGGTATATAAAACTATATACCGTCCTGAAAAATTCCTTAGCCTCTTCTATCTTCCCTGCATTATGAGAATTACAAAGGTAAAAATAACTACAAATAATCAATCATTCCATAAATCATGCTTAACAAGAAATCCCACAATTTTTTTAGCATAAATTTGTTCATCTAGGTTTTACCTTCATTTATCAAATGATAAAGAGAAACAATATCCCCACCAGCACAAAATGCCCTGCCATTGCCCTTAAATAATTCCAAAAATTAAATGTCAGTTGTCAATTAACATTTCAGTGTATTCCTATTAATATTATGACAATTAATACGAATAAAAATAATAATTTACATAATCCGAAATTACCTTCAAGACCACAAATCCAATTTCCGGATCATCTTCCCAAGATGCGTATAATTTATGCAACCTAGCACCCTGCAATCATAAGTAAGTTCCACGAAACTGTTATTCTAATCCAAACAACATAAAAAGGTAAACCTAGATAATATAATCTTCATTCGAACCAAACAGAAACTCCCAAAATCCATTGGAAATGCAAAGAGGAACTCACAATATTAGTATTGAGAGCATTGAGAGACGAAGGTCTATTAAGAATCGCTATTCGAGAGCTAGCTCTGCCTTCAACCAGCACCTTAAGATTTATTCATGAACTAGAATGAATGACTACTGACTAAATTGATTGAATTCGAAGTTTTCAGAGAGAAAGAAAGTGGAACTGACATCATTTTGAAGATCATCAGCATAGGAATTGATTGGAAGCGAGGAGAGGCTTCTCTTACACTGGATTAGACTCTGACGACTACGCCTTGATACCAAACGCTTTACACTCTGCATTTCGGTTTTGCACTCCAAGGCTCTGCTCAAAATTCCGGTAACTGTGGAAGAAAGGAGCGAAAAGAAAAAAAAAATCGTTTCAAGGGACTTGTTTGGCGGCTTGAGTGAGACACGCCTTAACCAAGGATAGATCTGTACCAAGCTGGTGTTTGGAACTTCCCAAACAGCCTAAGCTAGTATAGTATTAGTAACAGCAGTTAGCCTTTATTCCTGGCCGGAGCAAGAGCTTTTGGGAAATACATCCATCGATGACTAATTAATCAGCAGTTTCATTTTCTAGTTTATTAGAGTGACTAATTTATAGACTTAAAATCAATAAATCAGAAGTTTGGATGTGAAGCCACGTGCTACTTGCCAACTCACCCATGCCGCCATGTGAAATGCGTTTCATTTTATTTTTTAAATTTGATATTTAGCGTTTTTTTTATTTATTTTTTTAAATAAGCATTTCCATATCACATTTTGCTATTTTTGTTTTTTTATTAATACCTTGTGGATATCATTAATTTCACTCAATAAAATTATCGAAATTTCAACAATCCAAAAGTTAGTCTATTTATTTGTACTTAAATGTATTTTTTGTAATTTTAAGAAGTAAAATTAATATATAATGTTATAAAAATAAAATACATTCACAAATTATTAATTAAGAAAAAAAATCACAAAATGCTATATAAAAAAAATTGAGACCATAAGTAATATATAAGTGAAGTTTATCCAATTTTCTATTTAGACTCCCTATAGTTTTATGTTACATATATTTCAATTTTTTACCTTCATTATTATACCATTATTATAATTTTTTTATTTTGTTTTTGTATCCATGTGTTTCATTGATATGAAGATCTTTATTGATGAATATTTTATTCTCATCTAGAATCTTCTAGGATCTAGCATGAACCATAAGCAAATAAAAAAGAAATGAATATTTAGACGAACAATGCTTACATCAACATAAGAAATAAAAGCCTATTTTAACACCTTTAGCTTGCTCATAAACAATAACAATTTTAGATTTTGTTTGGTTGATATATTTATATATTTATATTTATTGTAAATATATGTGTGAATATCCATTATATCACGATCTAAAAGTTTAAATCAAGTCACACAACCCAACAAGTCAAACCTAAGAATATAATCTGATGTGAACTACTATATTTAATTATATATATTTAGATTTAGATGTAAATTAGTTTAGATTAAATTTAAGATTTAATTCATCTAAATTAATCTCTTCAACATTATTTTTATCTTGTAAATTTTATATAAATAAAAAATCATTAGCTTTGAAACAATCTGTTAATGGTTTCTGATGACATGCAGGCACCGTGGCTAGTGGGAGGGGATTTTAACTCCTTAGTAAGCTATGATGAACAGAAGATTTGGCTTCTACATTACTTGATTGTGGGCTACTGGATGCAGGTTTTGAAAGAAACTCTTATACTTGGACCAATAACCGCATGTTCCAAAGGCTTGACCGGGTGGTATACAACCATGAATAGGCAGAATTTTTCTCTTCCACAAGGGTCTAACATCTCAATCGAGATGGATATGATCATTGCCCTCTTCTAATCTCCTGCTCAAACAGAAATCAAAAGGGTCTAGATATATTCCAATTTTTACATGCTTGGACAAAAGAATCATGACTTTCTTTCTTTTGTTTAAAAAAGTTCAAATACCCTTATTTAAGGTCAAAGATTTAAAGTGGTGGAATAAGCAGGTTTTTGGAGATATTTTTAAAAACCTTTTATTAGCGAAAGCTGAAGCTAAACAAAGAGAATTGGTATTCCAATAGGACCCTCAGTCATTAATAGAGATTTGATGCACAAGGCTTATGCTAAACTTAAACATCAATTAAGTATTCAAGAACTTGAAAGTGACCTTCTTGACCTTTACTGGTTCTAAATGGTCTACCACTCACTCTTTGTTTATTGAAAGTGACTCAAAAAATGCTGTCAAATGGACTAACAATCCATCTGATGCTCCTTGGAGGCTTAGGAAGTGGATCCTGCACATTAAAAGGTTGAAGAAAGAGGTTCAGAAATGGGACATTAAACACATCTACAAAGAAACTAATCAACTTGCTGATAGCCTTGCCAAGGGAGCGGTGCAGGGTCAGGTTGATTTGTTGAATGTCTATGACTAATTTCTTGTGTTTGGGGCTTTAACGTGCACTGATTCTTATCTGGGTCTGGTGCATCCTGCGGTGCAGCATGAGAGGGTGACCGTCGAGCAAGAGATAAATGATTTTATAATGTTGTAAATGATTTCAAATAGAAATATTTTTCATTCGTGGTTCAAAAGCTACCATAATTGGATGTTTGCATCAAAAAATGGAAAGTGGATGTCATCCATGGACAAAAAAAGTCTATTTATAGTCATTCATGCCATTTGAAACCTATTCATTTGCTTTAAATAGTTTTGTAACCTTACAAATGATTGTAAATTAAAATCTTTCTGCTTTTTAGTAAAAATCAATCATAATTGGTTGTTTTTATTAGGAGACATGAAGTAGATGCCATCCATTAACTAGAAACATCCATTTATAGCAACTCATACCTTCGTTAGCCTTGTTACTTGCTTTAAATTTTTTTATAATATTAAAAATAATTTTAAATAATTTTTTTTTGTTTTTATATAAAAGATATCATATTTGGAGGTTTGCATTAGGAAACATGAAGTGCATGCCATCCATTGACAAGAAAAGTCCATTTATAGTCACTTATGTTATCAAAACCCTTGTTATTCGCTTTAAATGATTTTATAATTTATAATTAATTTTAAATCGAAATCTTTTTCATTTTTGGTTGAAAGAGATCATAATTGGATGTTTGCATTATGAAATGAGAAATGAAAGCCATCCACTAAGAAAAAAAGTCCATTTATAGTCACTTGCACCTTCGAAAGCCATGTTACTCACTTTAAATAGTTTTATAATCTTATAAATGATTTTCAATTAAATTGTTTCTCATTTTTTGTTAGAATTGATTATAATTGGATGGCTACATCGTGAAACATAAAGTGAATGCCATTGATTGATAAGAAAAGTCTACTTTTAGTTACTCATACTATTGAAAGCCTAGTTACTCTGTTTTAAAAGGAACTTAATCGATCAGGAGGAAGCTGCGTGTGGCCTCTGCTTCTTGTTTGTGTCCTTGTGCATCTGTGATACTGCTGTGTCGGTTAAAAGGTTATCTCTGACTGTGTTTTGGATGTTGGTGGGAAGGTCTGTGTCTATTTCTTGCATTCTCCAGAGGGGGCCCTTGGATGATGTTCTCTACTTTTGGCCATGATGAGGTTCTGGTGACATTGACTACTACTGTTTTTTGTGATTCATGGTGTGAGTGGTGAACTCTGGTCTTTGAGATGTGCAGGAGATGCTGATGGGTTGCCTTTTGAAGAGCACCTATTGATTTGTGGATTTATGGCTCAGGGGCTCTTTTCTGATGCAGCCACCTGGGGAATCTGGGAGTTATGGGGTTGTGTGTGATCAGTGATCGCTTAGTTTGTAAGACCTTGGTGGCTGGTGTTGTGATGATTGAGAACTGTCAACCCCAAAAACACTCATTTATCTTATCACTCTAATAGAGTTTCACTAGTATTAGACTTTTGTTTAGGGATTTATCCAAAACTCTGCTTGTTTTTGAGATTATTCATGTTGAGATGCTGCCAAGTGCTCCTTGAGCAGCTGCTCCTTTTATAATTGTTCAGAACAGGCTCTTCTCATGATAGCTTCCATGCCAACAGGAGTCTCCAAATCTCAACGTTGAAGACTCCCCACAGCATTCCAGCTTATCATTAATAAAAACTCATCTTTCAAAAAAAAAAGTATTCAAGAACTTTTTTGGCAACAAAAACCTAGTGTTAAATGGTTGGTGGAGGGGGAGTGTAATACCAAATTCTTTCACATGAGGATGTGGAAAAAGAGAGTGAGAAGTCATATATTTCGAATTCAAGATTAGGAAGGGAATGTATTTGATGAACCCCATCTAATCGAAAATTCTGCAATTGATTTTTTCCAAAATGTGTTGAAGGCAAAACATTGTGACATATCCAGGTTTGATTCTTCCATTATTTCTCGGATTGTCTCTACTACTGATAATGAGTTTTGTGTGCAGTCAAGCAGTTTTTAATATTAATAAAGATAAGTGTTGCCGGCCTAGATGGTTTCTCATTTTTTTTTACCAACATTGTTGAGAGATAATTAAGCAAGACCTTTTAGAAGAAGTGCTGGAGTTTTTCAAAAGGCCTTCATTTCCACGTGGTATTACTTCCACAAAATTGGTGCTGTTACCTAAAAAATTCATGCCAATGGAGTGATTTTTGTCACATTAGTTTATGCACTGTCTTAAATAAGATAGTAACTAAACTTTTGGCAAACTGACTATCCAAAATGCTACCATTAATAATTTCAAAAAATCAAAATGGTTTCATCAATGGTCGGTTTATCAGTGACAATATCCTACTAGCACAAGAACTCATTGACAAACTTGATGCTAAATTAAGGGGATGTAATGTGGTATTAAAACTGGATATGGCAAAAACATATGATAGTCTGAATTGAGATTTTCTTTATTTAATGCTGGAGCATTTCGATTTTAATACATAATAAATAAATATATGATCAAAGCATGCATATCTAAGTGTTGGTTCTCCTTGCTTATTAATGGATCTTTGGTGGGTTATTTCGGTTTTCGGCTTATCAGTGACTTATCAATTGACAAAGTCAAATGGCGGGTGCCTAGAACTGAACAAGTGAAAGCAGAATAAGACTGCTGACGATCAGGTCGGGCTTGAACATGATATGAAAACAAACAAAAAGGGTAGTTTCTCTTCGCCATGATGATGCTTTTCTAACGGTGAAAAGTTTCAGTTTCAGAACATTATCATTATTCTTATCTCTCACCTCGATTTCCGCCCCTTTTCGATCTTGACTCCTCCTCTAAATCTCTATCTATTCCTTTGCTGTATATATAAACATAAACACCAAAAGCAACCCAGAATAATTTTATAACTTCTGATCATCAATAGCGCTCAACTGTTTTAAGAGCCCTTTCGATACAATGGCGAAGGATCCAGTTAGAGTTTTAGTTACTGGTGCTGCTGGTACGAACTGTTCTTTTCTTTAGCAGACTTGGTTTTGATTTTGGCTGTGTAGAAACCCATCATGGCACGCTTGATTAGTTGACAATGAACGCAAGCTTCAAAATGTTATTTTAATCTATTATTATGTTCTTTGTTCTTCACCCCATAGGTTCTTTTCTTCAGAGTAAGGAGATGTTTCTGGTCTTGCATTTCTTGTACAGTTCGTTTTAGCATCTGGTTGCCTCGTTCTCGTTTCTGTAGATTCTTACGCCATTGATTAGTTGGAAGATAAGCTTATATATAGTCTTGAATTCAAAGGAAGCGCTTGTGGTTCTGTTTGATTGTTTGGTTTTTTTGATTGAAAACATGGAGCAAGAGCATATCATTTTACTTCAGAAAATCTTGGTTCTTTTGTTTTGCGTTACTTTGTTCTGGAAGATAATTAAGTACATGTGTGGCCTCTTAAACATGGAAAAGGAGCCTCTAACGGTACTCGTTACTGGTGCTGCAGGCAAGCTTGAAGCTATCCTTATGATTCCATCTTTTCATCATCTTTCTTCTGTACCGTATCCTGGCTTTGCATAACAAATCATGATTATTATATTAGTACAATTCTAGAATAAATTTTCAAACCCGGTACAGAATCTTACGCATATCAAAGCATAATTTTACTTTATGTAGTTTCAAAAGGTTGATGATTTTCTTGAACAGGGCAAATTGGCTATGCACTAGTTCCAATGATTGCGAGAGGGGTCATGTTAGGCCCTGATCAGCCTGTAATTCTCCACATGCTTGATATTGAACCTGCAGCTGAGGCCTTAAATGGAGTGAAAATGGAACTGATTGATGCTGCCTTTCCTCTTCTCAGGGGTATGCCTGATGACTGGTCGATTAAAAATTTTTTCTCCTCCCAAAAGTTGCTTATGTTTTTCTGGTTTCACTGTTCGAAAGGTGTTGTTGCTACCACGGATGTTGCTGAAGCCTGTAAAGGTGTCAATATAGCCGTCATGGTTGGCGGATTCCCACGGAAGGAAGGTATGGAGAGGAAGGATGTGATGTCCAAAAATGTATCAATCTACAAGGCTCAAGCTGCAGCCTTAGAGCAGCATGCTGCTCCAGACTGCAAGGTGAGTAAACAGTTAACTAAAATTTCTGCGTGTGTTTCTTTTTGTTTGTTTTCCTTCAAATAAATTATTACTAAGATTTCTGTGTGTTCTCTTTGTTTCTTATTCATCTAGGTGCTAGTGGTTGCCAATCCAGCAAACACTAACGCACTTATCTTGAAAGAATTTGCACCTTCAATCCCAGACAAAAACATCACTTGCCTTACCCGTCTTGATCACAACAGAGCTTTAGGCCAAATCTCTGAGAGGCTAAATGTTCATGTTAGTGAGGTGAAGAATGTAATCATATGGGGCAATCACTCGTCAACTCAATATCCTGACGTCAATCATGCATCTGTTATAACCACCAATGGTGCAGAGAAGTCTGTTAAAGATGCCATAGCAAATGACGATTGGTAACAGAAATTCCTCGCTTGTTTCATGATTCATTATCAATGAATAATTTTCTGAGTTGTACTAATCCTTGTTCCCAGGTTGGAGACCGAGTTCATTACCACTGTGCAGCAGCGGGGCGCAGCCATTATCAAAGCTCGCAAGCTATCAAGTGCGTTGTCTGCCGCAAGTGCTGCTTGCGATCATATTCGTGATTGGGTTCTTGGGACTCTCAAGGTCCAAGCTCTTCCTGTCAAACGTAGTTACATTCTTGATCTATTTATTAACTCGATTGTTAACTTTTTTGGGTCATTCATTCAGGGAACATGGGTCTCCATGGGAGTCTACTCTGATGGATCTTATGGAATACAGCCTGGAATTATTTACTCTTTCCCAGTTACATGTGAGAAAGGACAATGGTCAATTGTTCAGGGTAAGTTCCATTTGTTTCTATTCAGATGTTTTATGCCTGATGGCTGCATGATTGAGAAAATGGCAATGGGCGGCCAACAACTTCATTATCTCGATGATTGTTTGTTAATATTTCATTTCAATGGCAGGGCTCAAGGTAGACGAGTTCTCAAGGGACAAGATGGATGCAACAGCGAAAGAGCTTATGGAGGAGAAATCACTGGCCTATTCTTGCCTTAATTGATGATGAAGAGAATGAACTCGATTATCTTTCCTAGGGGAAGTTATGTTTGGAGACTTAATAAAACTCATGAAAAGTAATAATTGGAGTATATCATCCAAAAGTTATGTATTTACACAATTATCTGTTTTTTAAAACATATAACTTGTAATTATTACATTACAATTAATCAATTATAATTCAAAATTATATAATATTTATTAAAATATTATACAAAATCATTCTTATAAGTGATGAATCTCTACATAGTTTTTATTATGATTAGATAATTATATGATTGATCGTAAAAAGAATTATTCGAAGCTTTCAAGTAATCAATGAACTTACTCTTTATCATGTTCAAGTTATGTATTTTTATATGAGCATACAATCTAAAATTATCACATTATAATTAATCAATTATAATTATTTTTACTCCAAAACAATTCATTAGTTGGTACATTATTTTTTATATAAAATGTAGAATTCGAATCTCCCCTTCATTAACTAAAAAAAATTATAATTATTTTACATTTTTTATGGATGAAATGAATCCTTTTCCTATACGAATAAAGCTTTATCGGTGGCCGATGGAACGGTGTCGTTTCACTTGACCCGCTAGGCTAACAAGATCTGGACCTAATGTCACCAGCAAAGCCCGTCCCAAGCCCAAAAGCTGCTTAAATCACGAAGGGCAAAACCCTGATCCCCGTTGCGCTCAATGATCAGAAAGTGGAAACTCAAGCCCAAATTCATATACAACTTTCTGGAGTACTTGCAGAAGTTTTCTGACGAAGCAGAAAACCGCCGTGGAATTTGCTACGGTTTCTGTCTCCGGGCTCTCTGCTCATAATTAGCCGCTTTGACTTGCCGAGAGTAAGTTGTTTTGATTTTTCCTGCATGAAACGATTACTCACGACGGATTGATGGTTTATTGCTCTTTTACTAAGAAGAACCACCACCTGTTTGATATAAATACCAAATTGGATACAATTCAATCTAAGTAGGCGCCTCGCCCTTTCATTTCTTGTCTGATTGTTAAGTTGTTCTGTTTCAGGCGGAAAGGGTCCTTTGTGGGGGAATCGAAGATGGATGAGAACATGAAGCAATTGCAGCAAGGCTTGATTGAGCTTGAAACTGAAGCTGAACATTTACTATTGGCCCGTCATCAGGTAACCCTTAGCTTATATACTCTCAGTTCCTAGAACAAAGACTTCACCAAGTTAAGGCCAATGTAATTATTCATCTAGGTCAACAATTTAAAACTTTTTGTTGCTTTCTATCATGTAGTGTAAGATAGAAAAAATTTTCTCTTCTTTCCTTCATTGAATAACTGAATGTGTTAAAGAGTTAAAAGTCATATTAATTGGAAGTGCAGCTGGTTGAGAATGATAAAGTGAGGAATGGGAACAGGGAAGCACTTACTGCACTGAGGAAGAGGGCTCGCACAACAAAAACTAGTGTCCCATCTCCTTTTGAGTCAATGATGAAGAATGCTTGGGACCCTGGATCAAGAACTTTGGTAAAGGAGGTTTGTGCAACTTGTGGCAACCATGACTCAAATGAGCGGACATGGATGATGTTCCCAGGAACTGATGTTTTTGCTAAGATCCCGTTTCATGCTGCTCACACTATCTTGGAGACAGGTTTGGTGTGCAAGTTACTTTATTTTGAACACTTGCGTGTTTTCTTTGGTTTAGAATTATGGTCAGTGAAAAATGTGTTAATCGTTTGTTATATGAAATGATTCGCTGAGATATTTGCATTATTGGGTAGTTGTGCTGTAATTAATTATCAAACTTTTTGTAGACTTTTAGATGATTAGGCTGCAGTTCACCTGGCCCTTTTATCATTCTTTTTTCCCTCTTTTGTCAGTATTCAGGAATAACAATTTTCTTATGTCTGTAATTATTGCATATCGCTGTTTCTTATGGCTGTAATATTTGCATTATATCACCACTGTGCATGCCCGCCAGCTCCATCGAACTTCCAGTATTTGAGTTTGCAAAAGAGGACAGGTTCTTTTTAATCAGTCAGGTTGTTTTATCAGTCAGCTTGTTCCTTGCTAAAAGGTCTAAAATTAAACAACTGCAGATGTGTCCTGTGGATTATAACATGGCTAGAGTCAATCTCTTGGTTAGCTGGTTGCTAAGAAAACAAGCTTGGCAGAAATTATTCAAGCATTAGTCCTTTACTTTGCACATTGAACTTGTAACTTTTTTATTTTTTGGCTCAGGCATGTGTTTTGAGAATGTTAAAAATTAATGATTTTTGTTTTCCACAATATCCACTTTATAGTCACCTTATCATTTAATCAATTCTATGCATAGTTGTTGTTTTCACTAACATTGCCATAAGAATTGAGGGCTCGGAGCATTATTGTAGAGATCTAGTTAACAGTCATTATCGAAATTTTTAATTGCCCATAGTTTTATTCATGATTCTTTTGCATGGATTATTGAGCTTTTCCTTGCTGTTATTCAGATCAAGCACAATTGGATTATGAAGCTAAGAAACTGCAAAGCTATGTGAAGGAAAAATCTTTTTTGATATCAGAAAAAGGTGTCCTCACTGACAAGATTAGTCCTGGTGTGCTTAAATCCTTAGTAATGCTAAAAGATAAACCATGGTAAGTTATATATGAGAAGATATCAGTCTATCGTTTTAGGAACAAATCATAATTCTCTTATTCTGTGCAGTAGGTTAATCCTAGGTTTGTTCATGTAGCCTTCATTCTTTTTGTGACAACCGCACATGGACAGCTGACTGCAGTGTTAATCATGAAAGATGGGTTTGCATGATGAAGAAGTAGTAATTGTCACCCAAAAGTTTAGTCTTATTTTACTTTTTCACTGTGCTGAGAGTAAATTTCAAATTTGTATTCTGCTCTTATTCTTGTTGTTTCCAGTGACTGATTCTGCAAAGGAGGCAGGTCTCACGATGCATATCATAGTCTCGTGGTTTATTTTCTCACTTTAGGGTTGAGTTATTGAACTGAAACATGCTAGTTCACCGGTGCAGTCATCATCACAGAGACTGAATTCTACATGTGTTTTATTATCCTTTTAGAAACTATAATTTTTGCTGAGTTTGGTGAGGCTGCCATCTCCCTTTTTGCAGTGTATGTCTGCAAATAGCTTTTGGTTCTTTTTCTTCACTAAGTTTTCTCCCTTCCTTCTTGAGTAGAATGTCAGGAAAGGTCAATATTGGGTTCAGGGACCATGTGGATATATGCTTTTACTATAGCTGTGAAGTTTCGTGACTACTGTTTAAGCAGTTGAAGATCTCTTGTAATGCTATAATGTTGTTGTTTTCATGTGGTCCTCTGCCCCCTCACCCCCTTCTCCCACCCACCAGCAACACAAGAAACGCCAGTACTTGTAATTCTTGAACCTTATATATACTTCAATCATGATTTTGTATACTTGTCTTTGTTTAGATGATTTATACTCGTAATCACCTAATCTGCAAATATCACTGTTTGTTGGTCTGCCAGTTAAAAAAGGTATAGCACCTAATAATCAGGGTTATTGATTGAGCATTGGTTTTTCTTATTTCTAGATTGTGCAGCCTGGCTGATGCGATGAGGCAATCAAACAAATCAAAAGTACTTTTTTTGACTTGGAGTCAGCATTGCTGTTTATAGGGGTTCAGAATGAAGTTGGTTGCCATACCTGGGAAACTTCAAAGTGCTAACAGTCTTCTGATTGATACAGAGCTTGGATGAAATTTAGCGACCATTACTGATTTTGTTGATTGTGCTGTGAATATCTGTTAACAAAATACGATGTCTTCTTCGAATCTATTTTGGTATACATGACTAGTGCTACATATTTGCAAGAACCATTTTTACCATACCGAATTGACTTCCTCTCTGAAAGAAGTTCTAGCATTAATAGGGATAGAGAAACCATTTTCCGAATGATTTATCATCTGAGGGGATGAATTCTGTCTTTGTTGTGATTCACTCAAGCAGCTAAGTTTCGAAATCATGGAATAGCATACCTCTTTTTTACTTGTTTTTGATGTACCAATTCATGTAGTTGCATTATTGTTCTTCTGTATCTTGTATTGGCTAAGTTGTTAGTTGAAGAGATGTTGACAAGGCAAAGAATGTGGCATTGCATGACACAAAAGGTGCTCTTGGCCGGTTCCACTTTTTCAATATAATATTTGATCTCTTGCGTGCATGGGGAAGGTGGGGGAAGCTGTTGGCTCTCTCCTCTCTGGCTCTCACCTTTTGTTATCAACTTTAGTCGGCAGTCATGTGAGTCTTTTACCCTCCCTGTGCCAGGCAGCTAGCTTTTTATCTTAAATATATTGTTCGTAATTTCTCCTCTTTTATAATTTTAATATAAAATATATTAATATCAAAAAATAGAATTTGAAAAGCCCATTTTTCTTTCTTTCTATTGTACTATTGATTGAGTAATTTATTGGTACTATTCCCTGTACTGTACAACCCAAGAATATTTTTATTTTTATTTTATTATTTGACAAAAATAAAATAATAAAAAACAACTCTCTGACTAAGTAGTGGACATTCCGTACAGGAGAGTCAACGTCTGTGTCAGCCTTTCACCAAATGCCACCAGCCGATCACTGTGCTCGGACTATTTTCTCCTCCCTCTCTATTTTCCCTTTTCCCATCTTTCACTCGATCCGGCTGAGGGTAGTTACGTAACTTCGGAGTGTACTTTCTCCCAGCGCGTGTCCCGAATTTATTTGGCAAAGGGGCGCGTGAAGCAGGAGGCTGGGCCTTTCGGAGATGTAAACAAAAATTTTCTTACAACACCGAATAATACATCGTACGATGAAGATACGATCGGGGATCGGCTTTCTCCCCCAACCCCTTGTCTGCCTCCAATAATGCACCCATTTTTATCCTTTTATTTACATGACAGGCCCCTGCCTCGCTCCCCGTATGATTATGCTTTTGTTCATCTTCAATCTTCCTTCCCTAAACGCCAAATCAGGCCTTGCCCTAACCGTGCCCCCATTCTCCAATTTAAAAATCTTAGCCAAATTCTCCTATCCAAAGAAATAGTAGTAGTGACATATAATTTAAATACATTTTCTCTGACAAATTCCAGGCAAATTACATTTATGTTATTTATAATGTCATTTTACTTGTAATCAATTTACATTGTATGGTATTTATAATGTTATTTTACATTATCGAAATAAAGTTATTTTATTAAAAAAAATTAATTAAAAAATATTTATAAAATATTAATTAAAAATAAAAATTACGAGTGAAGATTACTCTTTTCTTAAAAATTGCATCAGAGTGACGTTTAGGTGACATATATACTGCTACGGCTGAATGATCGATCATAAATATGCGGAAAAGCTTTTCTCAAACAAAGGAATGACCCCTTCTTAAAGTGATCAAACAATCACCGCCCTTTTTTGATTGATTAGACGAGGGAGAGTGTGCAGCATTTTGAAAATGCATCGGGGACAGCTTTGGAGAGGCCGTACATTATCAAATTTAGGCAGAACAACCTAATTAAACCAGGCTGCAATCTTGTTTCATCAACGTGCAGTTGGGCTGATATTCTCCTGTTTTTCCCCATTGGGATTAGATAACTAAACAACCGGCCAATTTATTTCATTAATTAATAAACAAAAAGATTTTAATGATTTCCCCTTCATTTTAAGCAGAGGTATGGCGGGTGGGGAGCAGGGCCGCCCCGCCCACGCGGGAGTGGGGGTGCGGTGAGGAAGGAATGGTGGTGGGTTTAAACTTAGAGCTCGACATCATGATAGATTCGTTATTATGTGTTGATTCTAAGCAATAATTTGAACAGTCGTTTTCACCTCTCGATTACACTTCATGCAAGGGGCAATGGATTCCAAGAATAGAGAACATAAGGGAATGCTGTTGTTTCCATTTTCGAGTCAAGACCATCTTTTTTTTCTCTAATTTCGATCTCACGTTATAAATTATTTACATTTTATATGTATACAAATTATTAATATTAACAAACACTTAAGAATCATCGTATTTAATATCAATTAATATTTTTTATTTATATAATTAAACGAAATGATTCAATGGTTCATGTCACATGTAATTCACGATAATCTAGAATTTGAATTGCAATTTAAATATCACAATCTGAACCCAACTTGCATGTCTATTATTTTGATAAAGCTTTTCGACGATCATGATGATTGCATTGGACTAGGGTTCTCACACGTACCTGTTTCCTTTAGCCCCTTTCCAAGGAAATGAAAATGGGGGGGAAGAAAGTCACTCGCGAAACAAATCGAGTTGAGAAATAGCAGTCTTTGTCGAAGGATGGAGCATGCAATTTGGCATACAGGCGTCAAGGCCACGGAGATGTTTGGATTATTGGAGGGTTTAGACATGCAAAGCAAATCTCCTTGGCCACCCACACTTTATAGCAAACGACATATTTTTGTACAATGTTTGAACTCACTATTCATAGTAACCTAATCACACCCCAAAGCCCTTTTTCTTTATATATATATATGTATGTATATATATATATATATATATATATTCGAAGCTTTGGCATGGACTATTGTATTTTTCAGAACAAATATCGGGTATGAGGAGCCCCATATATCAAAATATTTTTCTTTTACATGGATGTCCTTACTTACCATACACATGCTTTTGTTTCTTGCATCTTAAGTGAACTGAACCAGGTACAAGGGCCCCCATGAAATGCAAACATATACTTTACATGGTTTTACCTTTAATCTAAAGCCCTCATTGAAGTTTATTCCATTGTGCTCACATCTCTTAGAGAAGTAAAAATAAAAAATAAAAAACCTAAATTTTACATCAAAAAACTTAATTTTTTTTATTTGTATTGGTATAAATCTAAACTTTTAATAAAAAAATTAACCGTTATATTTATATTCATTATAATTTTTTATTTATTTGATTATGTTAGTTATCACGTTCGTCATATGTCACGTGAATGAATCTGACAACTATTAATTTTTGTTAAAATTAAAAACTTATGTGAGTACAAATTAAAACTAATATTTGAAGTATAAATTTTACTAATTATTTAGAGTGCAAATAGATATTACTAGATAGAAACAGGAAACAGACCGTTGCCGTTAAACAGGGAACACTCACGAGCTGGAATTGACATTCATATGAATCTAAGAACAATATTTATGGAGATTCCAATATTAAATTAAACCAAGATAAAAACTAGACTTATTCGTTCTGTCGATATGCACCAGTGGGAAGGAGGGGGCGTAAGGTTTTAAGAAGCAAAAGAGAAATGATGACCCTTTCTTCTGGCTTTTGGGGGCAATTGATCAAAGCGGGCGGGTGAAGTGGGACCCTGAGGTTTTAAGATCACCGCGTGGCGTTTCACTGCAGAGAGAAAAACCAACCACACGGTTATTCGCATTACTGTCTGGAGACTGAACCCCCAAACAGATGCCCCCTCTCTTTCCCAATTCCCCAACTAGTTGGACTAAGGAAAGACGGGAAGAAAGAAAAAGAAAGAATTAAGCCAAACCCTCTCCCTCCTCTCTCTGAGTCGCTCTCCCCTCCATTTTCCTACCTTTTTACACGGAATTCATTGCACTGTTTACTCATTTGTGCTTTAGCTGCCCCACAAATACGTTGCCATCACTGGGGTTAAAGGGTAATTCCTCAGTCTTCCACATTGTCCATAGTCACCAATCACTTCTGCGCAAGCCGCCTCATAACTCAGTTTCTCACAGACCGTCCTCCACCTAGAGAGAGAGAGAGAGAGAGAGAGAGAGACAGAAAGAGCTAACTCAAGTTGGGCTTTAAGAGGGAGGGAAAAATGAGTGAGTTGAAGACTAGATAGCTAGATAGATAGAGTGGAGAGAGAGAGAGGAGGGGGGCTTAATGAACTTGCCAAAGAGGGGGAAATGAAGAATTGAAGAGTTGAACCCTCTGGGAATGGCAAGTTGAGTTCAGGGTTTCGAAAATCGCAATCCAAGACGTGTATGGTGAGTTGTTTTTGGTTTAACTCTTGTTCTTTTTCATTTATATTCTTTATCTTGGGGGGCTGAAACCATCTTGAACACCGACATGTCCCCTCCCCGAAAAGCTAGGCTACTATCCTCTCGTAACGCTCTCTGAAAAGCTAACCATTAAAACCCCAAAAACGAACTTTTCTTGTTCTTCTTTCCCTTCAATTATCTCTTGTGAAAGCTGACACATTTCCCATCTCTCTCTAACTCTTTGCTTCCTTTGTCTGTTTATCTATTATTCTTTGATGTTTGCTGTTGACAGATCATTAGTTGCAATCATACGGACAAATTAAAAAGACGAGCCGTTACGTCGCCGGAACAAGGCGGAGAAAGGGGTTTGTCTTGAAAGTTTGCGACTTTGACAAAATGTGGAATATGAATGGGGAACCCCTCAGCAATAATACTATCGGGTGAAGAGCCTAACCAAGAATCCGACCCGAATCGTCAGATTTCGATCACTATGCCACCACTACCACCACCCAGCAATCTTTCAACGAAACTCTCCTTTCCCATCAACACAGCACTGCCTTTTCTCACCAACACCATTTCCATAACCCTAACCAAGCTCAAGCTCAACCCCAACCCCACGCCCCTCTTCACTCCCTATACGACCCACGCGCCTACTCTGGCACGTCGGCTTACTCCACACCCCACCCTTCCTTGCTCTCCCTGGACCCGGTTTCCGGCGCCGGAGGAAGCGGAGGCGGTTACTTTCTGGTTCCCAAGACGGAGGAAGTTTCCAGACCTGTTGACTTCACAGCGAGGATTGGTCTCAACTTAGGTGGCCGTACGTATTTTTCCTCCGCCGAGGATGACTTTGTGAACCGCCTTTATCGCAGGTCTAGACCGGGAGATCCTAGTTCGACCAACTCCCCTAGGTGCCAAGCCGAGGGCTGCAATGCCGATCTTACCCACGCCAAGCACTACCATCGCCGCCACAAAGTCTGCGAGTTCCATTCCAAGGCTTCCACCGTCATCGCCGCAGGGTTGACTCAACGATTCTGCCAGCAGTGCAGCAGGTTGAGAAATTTACAGAAATGCCATTTCCCATTTTGCAGTAATTATCATGTAGATTATAGAGTGTTCGATAAGCTCTCTGGTGGGAGGAGGGATGAGGATAATGATGTGTTCAGAATGACGGAAGTGCCCCTGTAGATATCTGCGAGGGCCAATGATTGCCGAGCCAGTACGTGGGGTGATCCCGAGGGCATTTGTGTCCGTAAAAGTTCCCTGTTCTTTGCGTTTACGTACCGTTTGCTTTGCTACTTATAGTAGGCTGTTATTAACTGAAAGACACATTTAATTAGCGTCAAATCACGGAAATACCCTCCACATGCATTCATATTTTCACTCTCCCTGCAATACGTTACCGCAGTTCGTCAAAAAAAATCTTCGTCTTTCTTTTTTTAAGTAGCTTTGTTTCTTTCTTTTCTTTTGTTTGAAAACCATGGGGGAGGATTGAGCTGACGAAAGTGCTCCGGGGAATCATGTCCCGAGGCCAATGATTGGTTCTCCCGTTCTTGTGGAAATCCTGAGGGCATTATCGTCTTCATGATCATGCTAATTCCCCCCTTGACATGTCCTGTTTGTGTTGGCTTTGTCAAAACATACCAGTTGATAAAACTGCACTACTGCATAGTCTCGATTAACGTTTGGGTTCTCAAACTTTTCATCAGATTCCATCTCCTCTCGGAGTTCGACAACGGAAAGCGTAGCTGTAGAAAGAGATTGGCCGATCACAATCGTCGCCGGCGAAAGTCTCAACAACAACAACAACAACAGCCCAATAATCAAGAAAACCAGAAGCCCCTCCTGCACGAAAATGGCCGCAATTCCTCGGCTGAAAACCCCCCAAGTAAGTCGTTTTCGGATAGGCAAGATTCTTTTTTTTTTTTTTTGAGGGTTCTTAGGTGGCGAATTTTTGTTTGTTTTCGGTGATTTTTCATAGGGTCGCCGCCGGATTCTGGGATTCAGTCTTCTTCTTCCGTGACGGTGGCAGTTTCGCCACCACGGATGTCATTGGATTGTTTCAGGCAAAGACCTTACAATGCAACGGCATCTTCATCATCATCAAGCACACTTTTTTTCTCAAGTGGGTAACTAGAAATCTCAATAAGTAATGCCGTTGAAACGTATGGAGATGGGAGAGAAGCCATGGAAATTAAGCTTATGCAAATAACAAGTTGATTAAATGTCTCTAGTGTTCTTCTCTTCACTTTTTTCTCTGAAATTTCAATGTTTAATATCAGTTTGTGTTGGCTTATGCTAACATCAAAAAAAATTTGGACTGATAGAGCATCTAAAATATATATATATATATATATATATTTGCTGCAAATATATTCCCAATTATGTACTAAAATTCTTGTTCCCAATGTTTGTATTCTGTGCATGGAATATAATTTTGGAAGAGATGGGAAGTCGGACAGACATTGATCGAAGCAATTTTCTTTTCAGGTAGTAGTATAGTTTAGGCAGCAACAGGCTGTGCACTTTGCAGGTTTATTTTTGCATTTTGGGAATGGCATTATTATCCTTTTGTCTGGTACTGGAATTTTCCTGGAAAATACATAAAGAAAAGAGAGAGAGAGGGAGAGCGAGAGACATGGTACGAATTTTCTGCGAAAATTGTAAGTTAAAGGGAGAGGGAGTGAGGGACTATGGAGGGAGGAGCTCAAGCAATCAAGCTGTCTCCTCTATGGAGGCTGGACGTACCAAAGCAAAGTTATCATGTAGGAAAATCAATCTGATGTCTCAGAATATCTCTCTCTCTCTCTCTCTCCCTCATACGATCATCATCATCATCATCATTTCTGTGTGGCTATGTTTTTGTTAGGACATGGGATAATGGTAAAGCTGTTTAAAGAAAGTGGCCCATGGCTTGGGCCTTGGGGCCTACCCTCAGACAGAGTATCGCCTTCCTAGATCTCTACCTTGCAAAATTTAACCTTTGATTTGATCGATCCCGACCGGTATAACTTGCTCAAGGAAGGTACCCACATTTCCTTTGTAACTCCGTGCCTTCGACTTTGAATAATAACCCTCTCACATAAATCAAAAAAAAAAAGAAAAAGGGTGTCAAGTTCCGACGCTTGATTCTGCATAACAAACGATTTATGCACCCACCACCAAAAAAAGGAAAAAAAGAAATCTGCTGTCGATGCTGTTTGACACTCTCCTCCGAGCTTTTCTTGTCCGTACAGTTAGTTCAACGCTAGGCATACCATAATGTTTTGTTCCACGACAAAACAAAAGGTGATGAAAGTGAGCTTGGGGCAAAGCCCTGTTCTTATTTTTCTGGTCACACGACATTCGGGAGATGAAAGTTGGCACTTTGTTGCTAATGATGATTACAAAAGTGATGGATGATTGAGATCTTGTGTTTGTTTTTATTCCGATGCCCCCCTTCCTTCCTTTCACGAGAATTATGTATTCGAATCATTCGGAAACCTCCTTGCAACTTCGAGGAAATTTAATTGTGGGTCCCTCCACTTTTTTAAAAAAATTATTTGTTCCCATTTAAGGATGTCATTGTTTTTTAACTTCAACCCTAATCTTTTGTTGTTTGTTTTGTTCTCCAGATATACCCAAAGGTCTAATTCGCGACTTCTAAGATAGAAGAATCTTACGAAAAGATGTCGCGTTCCACATTCTTTGATTTGAATTAGGGATGGCATGTAGCATTCTAGAAGAGCTTTAATTAACACTATTAAGTACATAATGAAAATAACAACATTTATTGCATTGCTAGTCATTGTTGGTCACATTACTTACTTTCCTTTTGCAAGTGTTTGATATGGTTTCGAATCTAATTTGGTATCAATTTGTCATAAGATCGTTACTTTTTTATTTTTAAAAAATTAACTTGATAAATTATATAGCGTTCACATTTATACTCTTACTTATTTTATATGAGATTGAATTATCCCATTTTAACTTTTTTAAAAAGCTGAGCTTGACATTAAAGAAGACTAATTCAACTCACTAGCTAATATACATGCAAGCATATACATAACTTTGATTAAGTACATAATTATTTTTTAATCAAAACCACGTTCCACCCTCTATTCGGATGAGACAATAGTCTCTATTTTCATGAATACCACATGATTTTTTACTTAATCTCTCTGGTATACTAGAGAGAAACCGTGGGTATAGAGGCAGAGGGAGGGGGCTAATGGGGGGCCGTCTCCTTAAAATTTTAAAATTTAATATATTTTTTTAATTTTATAATTTTGTTGTTTTTTTAAAAAAAATTTACAATTTTATTCATACAAATATTAAATTTCTTATTTTTATCCTCTTCAACGTAAAATTTTGATTCCATCGCTGCATTAGTAGTACTAAACCTGGAAAGCAAATGCTGTATTCCTCACGTCACTCGTGCGTGTGTATAGATTTCAATTACTCCATGGTTAAAAAGAAAGAAAAAAATTATCCATGGGGCCAATTCTCACTCCTCTCTGGAGCATCTACTCCAAAGTTCTGAATCTAGCCGACAGTTCGTGGATTCACGTTGTTCGTACAACTGGTTGGCAACCATGAACAAATAATTGCGACTTTGCTCGTTTATTTGCGGGGCACATGATTAGTTATTTATATTCTTTATAAAGTTTTAAATCTGTTTTTTTTTTCTCGAGAACCAAATAAAAATTTGTTGAAGTTTCTTGTTTACATTAAATGATATTTTTTTAAAATTTTACTCAATAAAATTAATAATTTAAACATTGATGAGAATAAAAATTATTTATAATGATATTCACATAATGTTAATAAAAAAATTATAAAAGGTGTAGATAGAGTTTAAATAATTGGCAAAGAGTTTTTGGTAAAAACGAAGATAAAGAGTTTGCAGACAAATGAGTGATTGAATAACCGGCGGATGCACATAAATGTGTGAAAAACAAAGTAACAAAGGATAGAAGGAAAGATGAGTTGGTTTTTATTGTGAAACCCAACAGACGAAAGAAGTAGTAATAAAGCCGAGGTGCTGCTGGTACCGATGGTTGTAGCCAGCACATGAATGTGTCTATGGTGGGACATGGCCCACTTAACTTACGGACCAGAAAGTGGAGACTAGGCTGAGGTTTGGACCCACGAGCTCCTCTTCCCAACCCTTGGCTCTGTTGGTTGGGTTCCAACCTTTTCTCCTATTTAAGATAAAATAATGCAAAAAAAATAACATAAAGAAACATTAAAAGTCCAATTGCACAATTTATAGGATAAGTATTCTCGGTCTCCATTTAGTATCTCGTTTATATTTCTTTTATAGCATTGGATTTCGATTTTTAATTCTAATAATAAAAGCAAATAATTTAGCAATAAAGTGACTTTAATATAAAAAATTTATCAAATAAGTGATGCAAAATTATGAAAATGATATCATATAGGGTTACAATTCACTCCCTCATTCTTTTTAATGTTTTGTATAATTGAAATAATTAAGTGATTATGCTGTTTCATCAGCCCATGTGCATTTTTTTTCTTTTCTTTTCTTTTCTTTTTGCAAGACAAAAAGGATATTAAAGTAGTGTAACAACTTTATAGATCTTTCTGCCGAAGGAAAACCTTAAAAAAGGAAACGGGCACTCCAAAATAATTTGCTCATGGACAAAGAGATAGGAAAATGATGTAAGGGAATATGCCAAAATGGTACAATTAATATTTGCCTTTTACAAGTTAAGTAAACAGTTTTCGTGGAAAAAAGAAGAAAATAGAACAAAATATTGCATTGATTTTGTCAAAAAACTCCTAATGAATCATTAAAATAAATATATTTTCAAATAGTTAATAGTATTATTGAACACTTTATAGATAAATTTTATTCTCACAGAAGATTGGATTGTTAATTTAATTTGTTCGGAAAAAATTATCAAATTTGAAATACCCTTTGATTTGAAATTAATCTCTTTTTTTTATATTTAGGAATGTTTTTATAATTTTATCTTGTAAAATTAACTATATAAATTTTTATAAGAATAAAAGTGATACCATTTTACACGGATACATTTGTAAAAATAGAGTAAATCGACTTAAATATGTTCAATGCTTGTCGGTTATCAGATATCTGCAACAAAAAATGACTTAATATACTTGAAAAGAGTAGTGTGCATTGTGGGTTGAACTTAAATTGCATAATGGTGATGCCTTTCGACGGTCATTAAGAGAATCTTTGGATTTTTATTTTTTATTTTTTGGTTTAGCATATTTTTGTATTAGGTGTTTTTTTTTCAATTTATTATTCTGAATTGTGATGCAGTATAATTTTTTTTATTAATAAAAATAATTATTTGAGTAAAAGGAAAAAAAGTTATACACAAAGTATTAATTGACAAAAAAATCAGAAGATGTTATATAAAAATATTGAAATCATAAAAAAAAAAATGTACGTACAGGTTGTAAATAAGGTGTTTTTATGACATTTAAAATCACATTAAATTTAAGTAAGCAATAATCATTAGGGAGTGAGGAGAATATTAGCATTGACATGGATGAAAACAGTGGTCCAAGACCAAACGAAACGGAGCGTCTTATCCCTTTCCCACCATGTGTGGACAAAGGATCGAAAGCAACGTTTCACGCATTGCTTCGCGGAAGGAGTGCACCAAATCCCTTGGCTCCCCAATCTCCAGCTTCGTGGGTCCCGCCCTTCCCCAGTCCGAACACTGTCTTTTTAAATCTTTTATTGGCGATGGGTCCTACCCCCACTGTGATGATCAAACGCTTTGTGAATGGGACCCTCTAATCTTTCAATGCAAGTATGCAACTACGGCACTCGGAGGGAATACTTTTCAAAGCTTGCACGCTCCACGTGGACGCTCTCTTTTGCTGTAGCAGTCATGTAAAATGTGGGGGCCGCAACTGATTTGGCACGATACGGAGTTGCAGGTTCACGTGCACCGCACGTGATCATCGGTGACGGGTTGTCCTCTGTGGGGGCTTAGACAAACAGTTTCCAGAGCGAATTTTCGTTGGAGGGTTACTTTCGATCTTGAAAGACAATAAAAGCGTGTGATTGAGTTAGGGATTTCAAATCAATACAACAAATTGAATTTTGAATTTATAAATAAAAATATTTTTAAAATTAAAAAATATAAAGATATCAAATTTTACATTGATATAAAATTCTTATTGAGCAACATCATATTAAAATAAATTTTTTCCCTTTCAATACAATGTTGCACAATAAGAGATTTGTTGCAATTTACTCTATGCAGGCATTGATTGATTTTTGGTCATAATTTTTAAGTTCTGCACATCTGAATACCAACTCATATCCCTACAACCCTAAGCTAAGCTGACAGGTGTTTTGATGGCATAGCCATTGTTATAATTTCCTTTAAGACTATTTACAGTTAGCCAGACATAATTATCTTTTGGCCTCTATTATTAGCAGTCCTGCATACTTTTCTAGAGAAAGATGGGTATTATTAATTGGTTGAGGTCGGTGAATCTGCTGGACCCTCTGCGGCAGACTTTGAGTTATGCTCAACTACTTTTCAACAAGGGACAAAATGGGTTATTATTCTTTGGGGAAGAGACAACATCCCCCAATGTCTTGGGTTTATGATTAATTAATTGATCCAAAGGTAATTCTATTAAGATAGGTAAAAGTTTGTCAGATGTCTTATTAAGAAGGATTGAGTAGAAGTTGGAAATTATCCAATTTTATGCTACAACAATGTTTTATCATGCTATTAAAGTTTTAATGATTTGAAATTTTGTATAAACGGGAAGAAAAGTCGAATTTTTCACTGTACTTCAATTTCATTAAATTTTGTAACTATTGTAGATTTAATTTTATTGATTTTTAGACAAAAAAAATGTGATGAATATTTCATGAAATATTTTAATATAATAACCAAATTCAACATAAAATCACTGTATAGTGACAAACTTGAGCTTTGTTCCTTTAATCAAGTTAATTTCTCCCAATACCCACTTTGTTTAATGTTAGGTAAAAGTTCAAACTTGATTATCATCAAACCATATATGTAGTACTACGAATGATCTACAGAGAATTCCATTGAGAGTGATAGAAGAGAGAGTAGGTGCACAAAGTGGTCACCACGATGGAGACGATCATGTCTGCATGTTATGTCTGTCTGGATTTCCATGACTTTCCAACCCCCAATGAAAACATATAATTCTAAATGGCTTAACCTCTAAGGAACTTTCCCACATGAAAACAACCAGTCACTTAAATCAATCAGAGAGCTGTTGAGTTGACAAACATGCCCGATATAGAAAAAAGAGCTTCACCTTACCTTTATGGTTGTGTAGCATGCACTTTGAGGAAAAAGAAAACTTAGGCACTTGCCCTGATTTTATCTTGTTTTTGGACGATGATGATTAGTCTTTGAGACGAACCTTTTTTGAATTCCATGGGTTAATTTGAGATCACCAGTAGAATATTTTCAATTTTATGTGTTAAATTCACAGATAATTTTACCGGGTTTACTAAAATTTAATATTGGTATGTCGTCCGTAATTGAGTTTATTGTTCTTCACTCCCTTTTCTTGGATTAGTTCAAATTCTCTTATTATTGAAACTGGTTCTAACAATGGTTTCATTGTTTCTTTGCCAATGAAACATATTTCGAATTGCATTAAAAGTCTTGAGCATCGAGCTTTAGGTCTTTTCTTCGAACACATTCTTAAAGACACAAATTTTATTATAGATGAATTTGTAGAAACAGAAAATTTTTCCCTTTGTTGCTTAACTTTTGTTCCTAAAACTTAATGCTTTCTTTTCTCCAAATTTCTAATAAAATTCCCTTCGTATTAAGAAAAAAAAAGATTAATCTGATTAACTTCTTATAATGCAAGGCATATGGTGAAGAATGACAGAACTATTGATAACAAAGCATGCTTCCAGCATTAATCCATTTCAAAAATGGAAACTGGAGTTAGCACCAACAATTTTACTTGCAAAATTTTGATGCAGTCAACAAACCAGGGGCCAGGTTCAACCTGACTATGTTGCCCCAAGTAAATGGTTGTGCTCCGAAGTTTGTAGTCACTCTCCGCTTCTATCGACTTTGAAAGGTTAAGCATCGAAACAAGCATGTTCCAAGAAATAAATTTGGCTGCATCAATCACTTCAAATTAAGAGTCAAACCAAAGCTGGAAAATTCTTCAAACGCATTTATGAGTTTATTTATTCTATAAAAAAATATCCCTACAAGATTGAATGAAAATGGTCAGACTTACTGTTACAAGAAATGGCGATCAAACTATGAATGAATTATACAGTGTCGATAATCAATAATCATCCCAGAAAACAAAGCAATTAAACTGTTACAAACCAATAACTACTGGGAATTTTAAACTACGTGTGTTCCCTGCAAGGAATTCCACAAATCGGAGCACTCTTCTTCCTCTTCCTTAGTTTTCCCCCTCACAGACAACATTTCGAATGCTGAGCTTGAAGCTTGCATGAGGTCTAACGTAACTTGGGCACCGGCTTCATGAAACCTGTCCCAACCGTGAGGCTCAGGTAATGAAGGGTGCTGCTGAACTGCTACAGAACTGGACCCAGGTTGGGCGTCTCCTAGGTCTTCCATTGCATGGTGGTGCAAGTGCCAGTCTCGATCGAGTATGAGCTGCCGAGCCAGGATGGCAGCACGATTTTCTGCAATCAGCTCACGCAAGGCAGCACTAGATCTTGAGGAGAGATCAGACGAGAAAATCCAAGAATCAGCCCTGGATGACAGAAGAGAGAGAGCACGTCCTGTCGGCGACGATAGGTATGGAAATCTCCCAGTCATCAATTTATTATCTATCGAGAACATACAAAGTCACATGTTTCCGAGTTCATAAACCAGAAAAGTTCTACACTACTTTGTCCTCAAGCACAATTCGAATCAAATGAGTTTAGCGTGATCTACTTTTCATGGTCTGCAGTTACAAGCTTAGACAATGACGACAGTCATATTCATAACATGATCAATGCACCTGAAGTGTTTTAAGTGCTCACAGGAAGAATATCACAGAAGTAAGCAGAAGCAACAAGCATGCCTACGGTACCTGTTGGCCTCTCAAATTTATTTTAATTCGAAACCAATTCACTCCCATTTCATGGCTCAGTGTGGAAATATTGCTCAACACAACACACTCAACCTTGTTGAATTCAATGAAACCATGCATTGAGGTAATATCAGAACAAATGCAACTTGATCATACTAAAATGTGTTTTCCTTAATTAGCATACATAAAAACTCATGCGCATGCATTATCACCATGATCGGTCTTGGTTTCGATAAGAAGATCACTAGGCAATTACATTATGTAAATCAATAAATAATGGATTATTCAAATCAAGGAAAGGATAATTTCGTGATCTGTTGCCAGAATATCCCCAGTCCTCTCAGTGAAGTTTCCCTCCTCCGACTTTCCTATCTGTAGATGGTTGCCAGATACAGGGTCCAACGGGATAATATAGGAGGAAAGGCTTGATAGCATTGGGGAAAAGCTTCAAAAGATCAAATCTGATACCAGTTCTTTCTCGGACAAAGATTAAATGAGAACTGCCTTATTCTAATGATTTTTCTTTAACCCAAACAAAAGTTAAGGTTTAATTAACGCACAAATGCAGTAAAACTCATGTTAGAATAACACCTAAACGTACTAACATTAGTAAAGTGTGCATTCCATGGCATATCTTTGTGGTAAAATTAATGAAATGTCTATGAAACACGCTTCTGTTTCTGCATGAACTTGAAGACAGCCATTGCAACTTTGAGTTACAATGTCCAAATAAATGTGAAACATATTGTCAGAGAGTTAACCAGCTCACTGCTCAGGCTTAATATCACAGCATCTAATTATCGACCATCCCTTACTGTAACTACAGGGATTAAACAGTGACCGGTTCAACTGAGATAAACCTTATCCAGATCAAAAGGGAATTCCAAGCCAACAAAACCCAAGTCTTAACGGAGCAAGAACTTTATACCAACGGCAGAAAATTCATAAATCATAGTAAAAAAATGCACTTTTCTAATTAGTAAGCTCAAAGGGCAGCATTGGGATTCCCTTACTCTTTATCTTGCCTTTCCAAAACTCTAATTATTCCAACAGTTATTATAAAAAGGAAAGATGATTTTTCCCGAGACATGAAGCCTTGTGCATCTTGGAAAAACACGATTAAAATCCGCTAATGCAGTCATAAGGACTAACTAGTATTAAAATAATGGCACATGTAAATCATGCAACAAGGAAATTCAATAACCAAAAAAAAAAAGAATTTTCGTGCACCTTGAGCAGAGTTCCTGGAAGCAGAATCGTGATGGGAGCTCTTTCTTCTACGCTCATTGTGCCCTGCCAATCTCCTCCTGCAACTCCTCTTCGAGTCGTCAAACTCTGACACCACATGAAACCTATTGCCCATTTGCCCACTCATACATCAGCTTACTAAAATACAAAGATTTCTTACTACTCATTTTCCTATCATCTGCCAAATTTGACCAACGCCATACCAAGACGCAATAATTGAGAAGGAGAAGGAAAAAAGATGAGAATGAAGAGAAAAGAGGAAGACAACAAAAAAAAAATCAAACATTTTGCGCTGTTCCTTCATTCTTTAATCATTAGAAAGAAGAAAAAGAACCCCTAAAATTAGAATAGTAGTACTTACTATTTTTAAGTAACCTTTTATGGCAGTTTTTTTTTGCTTTAAGATGGAAAGAAAAGGAAACGCAATTGGAGAATTAACAGTCACCTGCTACACTGTTGACAGAAACGTTGCTCTAACCCTAGCACCACCACCTTGGGTGCCTTAGAGTGCATCTCACAAACTTTATGCCTCCGGTGGTAGTCTTTAGCATTGACCAGCGCAACATGGCATCCTTCAACTTGACACCTTGGCACCGTCGCTGGAGGTCCCATAACCGCTGTCGATGAGGAAGGCCCTATTCCAACTCCGCCCCCGCCACCACCACCGAGATTATTATTGTAATATGGTTTACCTTTCTTTCCAATGGTGAACCCACCGGCCACGTGCCGGTCGGACAGAGCTGTAGAATCCTCGAAATAGTGTCTCTTGCCAAGCTTCAAACAAACGAGATGAGGGTCAGGGTGCGTATGAGACCCGTCTCCCGTGTAAAGAGCGTGCTGCTGGTTCAAGTGGTGGGCAAGAGTAGCGTTGTCATGGTGAGGAAGAAACATGAGCGGGTGGGCTGTACTCACTTCAGGGAGCGTGGTGCAGGAGGAGGCGGTAGTCTCCGCCCTGGTGGCGGCGGCGGCGTTGGTAGTAGCAGTACTAGTGGCGTACAAGTTCAAGCCGTTAGTAGTATTATTATTGTTGCCTCCCCAATCAAATCCCGTAGCAGATGTAGGGTTAAGTTCCCGTATATCCCAAGCGAGATTAATGCTGCTATTACCAGTTTGCCCCCGGTTCCCCATGAACATGTTCCCGCCATTTTCCATAATCTGTGTCTTTCCACTTGCTGCGTGCAGTGTCCGTAGTGCCCTTTGCTCTGTTTACCTATTTATAAGCGATAACGGTCGATATATAGCTTTGGGATATCCTTTTTGCTAGCTTTGCCGGTTTTGCGTACGCAGAGAGGACTGAAGCATTTCCCCCTGATTGCTTTATACAAAAGAAGAAACTTAAAGAAATAAATAAACAAACAAACAAACTTTAAACAAAGGAGAGATATAATAAGAGAATATGAATGAAGGGTTAGGTTTCTTCGTTATTGTACTCCCTATGGGGAAGTGATAGGAGCTTCAGAATGAGAAAAAAGCTGCAAGTTTTACGGACAGAAAGAGAGAGAGAGAGAGAAGCTGAACCCTATAGAGAGGCACGTGAGACGAAGAGTTTGGCACGTGGGAAGAGTGAAGGAAGGTGGGCCAATCCAAGTTGGGCTGGAACTGATTTGATATGAGCTGCAATAAGTGAGGACTGAATAAAGATCAGACGAGGAGGAGAAGCAAGAAAAACCCTTCTCTTTTCGTTTATGAACGAGGCAGGATTAAGTGTAGTTGCAGACGCAGTCCAAAGAGCGTGTGCTACACTGCTGTCTCTCTGCTAAGCTGCATGCATTTCCTACGTAAGCTTCCAATGGGAACTCGAAGTTTCACCTGATAGATTCTTCTAATCTTTGCAAGAACCGAGCGTCTACGGAACGCGCTTCGAGTGGGTTGTCAGACTCGTTCATCCCGAAAACGGGTGCAAAGTCTGCAATATATCGCTTCCAACTTCCCTCTTCGTTTCCTTTGCCTACCGTTTTTTATGCCAAATATTTGTTTCCCTTAGCTTTAAAACAAACAAAAGGGCGGTGTGAACAAATAAATTAATACTAATGGTAGGAACTTTAATAATATACATTCAATGAAATTTATCATATAGTTATTATTATAATTATTAGAGTAATAATAAAAAAGAGTCTGACGTGTTGAGTTAGAAATATTTAATAATTTCATTATTATTAAAATTTTTACTTCTTTCATTGGAGAAAATGAAATTCCTTTTCATGATACTTGTAGAGAAAAGTTATTTAATCAATTTTTATTTCCAAAGTTCTAAAATACAAATCTTTTTTATTTAACTATTCATAAATACTAACCTACACATTTGTACACAACCAAAATTAAAAGGCCACGTGGTTTGAAAATGCAAGCTAATTAATGATAGTAATATCATAGCAACAATGTTTTTGTACACTGCCGGAGTACCCTACAAAAGGACACCCACGCCCTAGGTCCCTAACCCAACCTCCACAAAAGGCCTCGAGGTGGAGGTGGGGGTGGGGGAATCTATTCTTTTTCTATCCAAAGGCGGTAGGTAAAATGCTCTTCATAGTTAGACACTTGGCCATCTTTTTGTAGCTAAATAGTACAAAAATTAATGCTACCAAAGATGAATCAGAAACTCAATAAGGTTGGAGAGTCAACAATGCAATTGCAATGAAAGGGCTCTCATTACTCTCCATGCTTCGTCATTAGATAAATTTGTTGAAAAAAATTACGTGCGGATAAACGTGTATAAATTAATTTCTTACATAAAATGAGATATTAAGTTATTTCAATCTCAATTTTATCGAATGTGAACCTGCCATTATTATAAAACATTTAAAAGAACAAGCTATATTAGGTTATCCAACACTCGTTAATCCTTTTCATGATTCTAAGTACAAGTGTACTACATCTATACCTATATATAGAAGCTATCTTTTAATCAATGTAATTGGTTGACACTTGGCCTGACCAATTGATGGCCAAGTTTGTATGGCATATTTCAATTTCGTGGGAGTAAATTTGTGAGATTCAACAATTGTTGGCAAACCAAGTGAGGGTGTTTTTGGGCTTTTACTAAATAAGAGAGGTATATATGTCTTTTCAAATTATAGGTATTTTTTATGTGATATGATATATTCGGAATTTTAAAATATCATAAGATTGTTTTATTCTTTTAAATTTTGTGTTCATTCCCAGCACTGAGGGTGTCCTTGGTTTTCCACGAAATTTCCAAAGCATTTCAGTTTTTTAATTTCACATGCTTGCCACTCCTTTTTCTCCCTTTATTTCTTTTTGGTATTTTGAACACTAATGGGGCTTTCTTAATTTTTTATATGAATTTAGTATTTTGTTAGGTATTTGATTGTCGAGTATGTGATTGTCGAAAAGATAAGTTTATAATGTTTTATATAATATGAGAAAATGATAATTGAAGGGAATATGATTATTATGAATATTACATTATAATATTTATTTTTTAAATACTTCATTAAAAATATAATATAAATTTATAAAATTATATATATATATATACATGAAAGTTGAATAAATTTATTTTTTAACGTAAATTTTTAATTTTTCAACTTTATCTCTTAAAATAATAAATAATAACTAACAAAATAATATAATATTTTAATATTAATTATTTAAATATTAAAATATGTAAAATTATAAATACATATTTGTACCCTAAACTTATAAATATTAAAAATAATAATACCTAAAATTATCACATGAATAATAAAAAACATTATTCAAAGAATATTTTATTTTTTTGTCTTTGAACTTCTTGAGTTAATGATTTATTCTTTTAATTTTTTTTAAGTTAATAACAATTGATCAATCACTTTTTATTTTCTGTTGCTGTTTGATTGGAATCCTTCGGTGGATTTGCTTCTGCCCTTGCTTTCTCTTTATTGAAAGAAAGTTACCTTTCTTCTATAATATAAGGGAATGACATTTCTTAAATTAATTGTAATGACATTACAATTGTAAACACACTCTATTTCTTTTATTAAAAATCAAAAGTTGCAAAATCATCACACTTATTTAAATTACAGAGAATGTACTACACATTCACAAAACTAAACACTCCCTTAAATTTTTCCTTTGTCTTTTGGTAAGAGGGCATTGTCATATTTCTAAGATTTTTACATGGTTTTTTGGCTTTTTTTCCTTGGATGTTTAATATTTTGATGGTTATTTTGTTGTAGCTTCTCATATTAGGTTGTTTGCTACGTAATTTGGAACCTTTTAACTTAACTTTCGAGTTTCAGTCGTGTCCATACAGGTTAAAAGCTAAAAGCTGGCTCTTATATAAGGCAAAAGTTTGAGCCCTGCACTTCTACTTTGTTTTGTATTCATTTTCCATTTAATGAATCTCATTTTAGTTTATTTGCATATTTGGGTCTTTCTCTTAGTTTTGGGAAGAGACAAAAGGGACGATTTAATTTCGTTATTGTGTTGCGTGGGATCTTCTTCGATTCAGTTTTATTTTGTCAATCATTCTTTAACTTCAAACTCATTTAATCCTTGGTTTCTTAGTCAATGCTGTACATTTTCCTGACGTATAAACCACCAAAGCAGAAGTCATCACACGTCACCAACATGGGAAAACTTAAAGAAACCTTTTTTCCTCATTTCTTTTTATTTTTTCGGTTATTTTTTTCATTTACTCGTACTGAAATACTTTTTCCTGTTTTTTCTATTTTTTTAATGGAGGATAATAACAAGGAAAAGACATCGAGACCTCCCAACCTTCAAAGAAATCTTTTTGCTTACACATATTAATGAATTGAGTGTTGTTGGGTTTATGTTGATAGCACAAATTGTTTATTGTCAACTCCCATTCAAGTTGCTTATAATTTTTTTGGGTAAATCGACACTACAAAACTAACACTCACAACATCATATTAGCTTCTATGGTCATTTTTGTAGTAGTTATATCTACATTTTGGAGTTTGAAATAGCCCTTCAACTATTTAAATAAAATTTATTTTTTTATTACAATTAATTAAATTTTTATATTTTTATTTTAAAATAAATAAATTTTATGAGTAATAGTTGATTAATTACTTTAAATTAAAATATTATTTATCATTTTATGCTTATATAGAGTTATTGCGAAAGATAAAAATTATCACATGATTATGATATTATGTTATATTAATATGTTATATCATTATCGATTATAATATGTCAAAATATTATGTTATCATCAATTATAATATATTAATATACCATATTAATGTTATATAGTATAGAATAATAAGTAAAATTTTAACTAAATCAATCATTAGTTATAAGAACTTATTTTGTTTAAAATTAAAATATAAAGATTTATAAGATTTAAAATAAAAATATAAAAATTTAATTAAAAATAATAAAAAAATAAAAACTTATTTAAATTTTTTTATATAATTTAATTTTTTTAAAAAATATTAAATCTAAATCAATTATAAATTACATTTATCAATACATGAAATGTTTTTGTCTGTAAATATATTTATTAAAAAAATTTATGTTAAAAACATTTTGGTACTATTATTTATATAAAATCTGTACAATATTTCTTTCATTAAATGAAAGCCTACAGTACGGTAATAGTTTCTTGGCGTTTCGCGCGGGTAACATGCTAGTATGTTTAAGTTACTAGGCAGTGGGTTATTTGGAAGTTTGGAGGAATACAAACAAGCATAAATGAAGGAGTCCCAGTCGTGATCGAATGCAACACAGACTGTAAAGTGTGTTTGACGCAATCTTCGATCAGGGGAGGCCATACACGTGTCATGAAAGTGGGGTTCCGAGGCAAAGATCTTCCTCCAAGTATACACCAAAGATCGACCATATTAGTTTTGATGGTGACCACACTTTGGTATGATGCCATTCTTTTTTGAATAGTCCTTGGGTTTTTCTTCAGGTCAGTGAATAAGGGAACCACATAAGATGGCATTGGTCGTAAATAAAGGATAACATGGAGGCCTGTTTCGTTTGCTTTGAATGTTTTCTGAAGGAAAAAGTTGAGACAAATCCCTCAGGAACGGGCTGTAATTAGCAACAAAGTCCTGCCCCGATCAATTACTTCTCTTTTGCTTGTCGTGAAATGGTAAAGAAAAGGGTTGACAGATCGCAGCAGAATATGACCAGTGACTAAGGACAGTGGGAAAACGCTCAGCCCCACGCGCTTTCCCTCCCCCTGCATTGTTTACCACAAAACTCCCATGGTCATTCCAGGTATGGAAATTCAAGGCTTTTTTGCAGTCTTCTCTGCCTTGGATTATTAAGTAAAAAAATATTACTCCTACTACTAGCTGCCCTTACTGACATTGATGGGCACTTGTCAATATCAGAAGAATATAAAAGGTCATTTTCTAACTAAACTGCTTACGCTAATCAATTCAATCAAATCCTTATTTAGTTTAATCTGCTAATCAGGACACTCGGGCTCTAAAAAGGTATGGTTTTGGTTCCCCCTGTGTG